TCTAATCATGCCGATCCTTCTGTTTCAGTACCGACAGCGGCTGGGACAACCCGTTCAGGCCGGACGGGGACCTGTCACGGGAGGCCGATGAAATCGTACAGCTGATAAAGGGCGGCAAGCCGATAACGCCAACGCCAGGCCAGAATGCGCCGGCGTTACTACCGAGCTGCGAGAGGAAGTCGGTGGATCGCGTCTCGAGCTCGAGTCCGCTCCTCGACTCGACGAGCCTCCACGAGAGCACCGCACCCCGGCTGAACCAGGGCAACGGGAACGCCCACAGCACTCCCATCAAGTCATCCAACAACCAACAGACCGCCGGCGAGAAGGTCAATTATCCTCGACTACCCTCTCGATTCCCTCACCATTCCGCCAATGTCCCTCTCACCCTTCGTCACGACCGGCCCTCGATTGCACCAAGCGCTGTGCTCAAGGCCGTTCGAACGATCCTTCAACGTCCCGTACTAACGAGTGTGCTTTGACTTTCAGAACACGGCCACAGTGGAGGTCGGCAGAGTGACGGCGCAGGGACCCGGCGACGCCTCGCAAGTGGAGCACGTCATCCTGAAGAAGAAGCCGAAGTGCAAGTGCTGCGTGCTCCAGTAACGCGCCGCCCTCGCGACTTCGCCCGGGCTAAGGAGCCTCAGCTCGGGCGCCAAGTCGCTCCCTCGCGCTCTCCTAGACCCTCCCCGGGTGGGACGGCAGCAGACGGCCGACGGGGCTCGCGTAGACGAGAACGCCGACGCGGGTAGAGGCGCTCACCGCTGCGGCTCGACCGCATGACGGATGATCGAGAAATTTATCGAAATATATATTGTAGATAGAGTGGTACGAGTTAAAATAGCTATCTATAGTGGCTTAAAGTGCTTTTACTATTGCGGGGTTGCTAGACGAGAGGAAGAGGGGTCGCTATCGAGGAGGTGATAATTAGGTTTTAACACCTAATGCGACGGCGATGGCGACGGCGATATCACGTGTGATGGCCGGGCGACCTATCACCACTCGCTCGGTCGAACAATATTTTACGGCTCGACGTTAGCGAAAGTACTTTACCAACGCCACTTGCGCTTGCGTCTTTTTATTCTATTCCTTTGTATCAACTCTGTTTATTGTCTAGGAGCATTTCTTGTAAATAGTTATATGATATTGCAATTTTAATGTGAAAAAATTTGCGCATTATTAAACGACAAGGATTATACTGTGACACAATAAGGTGAAAAGAGCGAGTGCACGAAGCCGTAGATGCGGAAAGAGCTGAGCGATTAACCTGGCCACCAACCCGAGGTCCCAAGGTCTTCATTTATTGTCACTACTTTAATTGAGTTCCTTCCGAGATTGTTATTTTCTCCTTATTCGCGTGCTCGACAATGCGAAAAGAAAAAAGAAAAGTAAAGCAAAAAAAAAAAATGAACGAAAGATAAAAATGAGAGGAAACATAAGAGAAAAGGGGTGGGCTGGTAAGTGAAAGATCGGGACAAAACGGCTCCTCCTCGTTTATTGCTAATGCACAAATCACAATGTAAGAAAGCTTAATCTGTAAGCATAATTTGAAAGCTGATAGACCACAAGCTCAATTCGGCGACTCCTGGGCAGCTGTCTAAGCAACTCTTGCTTTTTTAATCCTTCGACCAATTACGCAAGCTATTTATATAATCCGTAAGCGGATATTTTTATTTGTCGTTTTGACTCTGTTTTTAACTACGTCCTTTTGGATCCTCGTTCGCTCATTCGCGCCCAAGAGAGATGGAAATTGGAATGATATCTTGGACGGAAATGCGAGTACGCACTCCACAAACACACGCACACGCGCACACGCGCACACACTGACACACACTGACACACATATATATATATATAATCACACGCGAACATACACACAGCTAGACAGAGAGAGAGAGAGAGAGAGAGAGAGAGAGAGAGAGTAAAAGAGTAAGAGAGAGTAAGAGAGAGTAAGAGAGAGAGAGAGAGAGAAATAAATAAAGAAAGATACAGTCGTAAACGAACACCAGACAGACCGATAGACAAATAGACATACATTCTCGCTTCTCTATTTCTTCTCGTTTTATACGAATGAATATGTATATGTAAGATCGAATCCTTAATCGACAATTCGAATCACGTAAGTTATCCAATTTTCGAAGATTCTATTGCAAGTTAACGGGTATTCGAATAGACACCGGTGAAGTACGCGCGTGATTATCGAATGTCGATTAAGAATGGAATCACCGAAAATATTTGTGTAGCTGAATTTCTTCTGACACTTAATACTTATTCATTCTCCATCAATTCTTATATTTACGTACTTGCATATTTACACGCTCATAAATATGTATGCATATAAAGAGTACGTGTACATAGATTGGCATCGATACATACATAATGTTATATATATATATATATATATATATATATATATATATATATATATATAATGTGGGCCTCTATATGTATATGTATATACAAAGATTCTTTTAAACTATAAGACTTTTAATTGTATGTCCAGGGCGATCGATGCAAGCTTTTTAGTTCGGTAAAATTATAACCTTCCGCGATTGCAGCATTATTTGCACAGCATCGAATAAATTCCTTATACATATTCACCAAGAGCCGAAATTAAATGAATAATAATAATTTTAATAATAATAACGATTATTATAATTAGAACAATAATATTATTAATAATGATAATGATAATAATAATAATAATAATAATAATAATAATAATAATAATAATATTAATATTAATATTAATATTAATAGTAATATAATAATTATGATTATTGTAATGATAATGATAATGGTAATGATAATGATAATGATAACGATAACGGTAACGATAACGATATTATGACAAATGATAAAATTGATAGAAATGATAATGATAATGATAATGATAATGGTAACGATAATGGTAATGATAATGTTAATTGTAATGATAATATTATAATGATGAAGATGTTAAATTGACCGGAACTCCTTCGTCTAGGGATATTGCTCGCTTGCCGTGTATGGCTTGACTGGAACCGCCGTCTGTTTGTACTTTATGTACCGTTCGATTCATTTTTACACCACGAATTAAGCGTTCGATGGCCATGAGTTTTTCGATTTATTATTGCAGATTAAGAAGCAAATTGTACATTGAATTTACCGATTTAATGACGCCGAGCCAATGCACGAGGTAGCATCGATCCGATGATAAAAACTTACAATGCCGATAGCCCGTCAAGGATTTCATTTATATTGAAAAATGTCAGAGGGACGATAATCCTTTTTAGCGAGCAGTGTCAAATCAAAGATTTTTTACCGATAAAAATTTCCCGAAATTTAAAAGACAATTAATTACACGCATGTCGCTACTGCTACCTACCTTTTTCAAATGTAAGTAGTTGCAGATACGAGCCTGATTTATATACGCGAATAAAATGGAGAAGGAAAACGCGTGGGACATGTAATTACTGTTCAACAGTTAACGTGCGGATAATGAAATAGTGGGGCGAATGACCGATGAATAGATGATCGTTTAATTATTTTAGAATTATATAAGTATCCCACAAATGTTAAGATACTCGCATGAAAACTGATATAAACAAAGTAAAAAATCAACTACTATTGTAACATCTGTCCCGCGCAGCTGTTGATTCTGCTGAGCTTACGGATATTAAACGGATATTAAATGTCTTGTTAAAAAATAATTGTTTATTTTATTTTAATTTATTCATTTTTATTGGCTCGCTGCCCTGCCCGATCCACGCCGTATATCCCAAAATCATATCTAAAAATTCTTCAATTTCTAATAAATATTTCAGTGATTTTGCATGCTTCGTCGATGATATTCGCAGGAAGATGTAGTAGCTAATCGAATCAAGATTTCTGCGATAATCAGCAAAATTATTTAATAATAATAAACAAGGGGAAGATTGAATTCGTTTTATAGGCATTTACGCTCTATACCGCACTGTTGTATATGCTCGATCTAACGTTGCGGTTTAAATATTGAATATTATCGATTATAAGACGTATTTAACGATGTTAATCAATGCAATGTGAGGATTAACTTTGTCGAAATTTACAAACAATTATTAGTTGGCAGAGTGTGGCCCTCTTTGTGCCATAGGCGTACGTTGCAACGTATTTGGAGATAATCCTTCCTCGCGCACCATTGCTCAAATAATAAAGTCTTGGCTTTTCCTAGCCTAATAATGATTAAATAACGACTTTAGATACTCTCTGAGAATCTGTGCAAAAGTCACGTTCTTCTAAGGTCAAGTAATGAAAAAAAAAAAAAAATAAATAAAAAAAAAAAAAAAAAAAAAAAATAAATAAATAAATAAATAACGCCAGATGAAGACGATCGATAGACAGCTACCTTTAACCAACGCATAGTAGTCGTTCATGCACTTGTTACAAAAACATGCCTATCCCATTGAAATTTTTTAACTGACGTCACACGACACACCATTTACATAACAGAGAATTTTGAGTTCCTTTGTTCGACGATTTAACCACAGGCTGCACGAACATCTCCAAGAAATACCATAAATTTCTCGCATAAGCGAGAAGTTACTAAATTTCGTAAACATAGCTTTCCTAAATGATCGTTGCTTTCAACTTCACCACGGATTATCCTTAATGGCCGAAACATAAGCGCGTTATTTCATGAATAAATAGAATATTTTATCCCAGATTCTCGTATGTGGTGTAGGGTAGAAGAGAGTCGGCTCTGTTGACGAGAAGACAAGATGATATTGCGTGGCTTGTGCGTGCCAAAGTAAGTATTGGCTTAACCGACGAGCCTAAGTGAGATATCGCCTTGGAGATGGGCATTTCAGAAGCGACTTGCAATCCAATCCCCAGGCGCGTACATTATATACAGGCAAAGCCCGTGTGCGTGTGTGTGTGTGTGTGATTCGGGCAAGCGAGGCGAGGTGTCTTGTAAAGCTCGAGACTCGAGGTGATGGCTTGATGTGAGCCATATGCTTCTTTAACGGAGTGAAAAAGCCAGGACGATGGTTGGCATAATCGCGAGCCTTGGAATGAATGAATAACGAAAGCGGTTAATTGTCATTGTATCGGAACGTGTTAATAAATTGTTGTATTATTGTTGTTGCCGCGACGTTGCAGACGCGTAGGAACGTGCGATGCCGTATAACGTGGAGACGCGAGGTTCGACGACGACTCGATAAAAATCGAGCGAAGCCAATTAACGAGCTAGAGCTGGTAGCAGATAATCGAGTACATGGTTAGCGAGAGTGAGTGAGTGGGTGACGAGAGATGGAGAGAAAGTGGAGTGAAGAGAAAGAGAGAGAGAGAGAGACGAGCCGCTACTACCACGGTAAAAAAAAAGAGCGAGGAGGAATGGTACGGGAGAGCGACAGGTTGGGAGAACAAAGCGAGGGGAGCAGCATCTGCATTTGTCATGTGGCGCGGTAGTTTTCGCGACGCGAGGCATAAATCGCGACCGGGGAATGCGGGCTCGTTGCGAGCGTGAGTGAGATCGAGGGGCGGGAGGGGGGAGGGGAGGCGCCGAGACTCTTCGCCGGCGCATCTCCTCGAGAAGATCATCGGAGTCGCCGGCACCTGCCAAAGAGTGTAAATTCCGTCGCGCCAAAGCGGCCCCGACGAATAAAATATCATCTGCTCGTGGTGTCGCTCGCCCACCCGGGACACAATTATTCGAGAAGATACGACCTTACGATCAGCAACGAGGCTGTATTTCCTTTCATTTTTCTTTCTTTTTTTTTTTTTTTTTGGTTTTTATTTTTGTTTTTTTGTTTTGTTTTGTTTTGTTTTGTTTTTGTTTATAGCGGTACCACAACATAGGCGAAATAGGGCTGACAATTAGCGCAGATACTTGCTTATTTAGCGCCGGGCGAAATGGTGATAACGAGCTTTCGAATTGGGCTGGGAAAGTCAGTCGAAATCGTAGCACAGCGATTGCGAGGCTAATTAAAGAGAGACGTTACTCGAAAGCCGTCTAAGGCTTGATTATAAAATATCTCTTTCGCTTCGCTATTATTGAATTTATAAAGACCATTATCCGTCCACTTCATCAAAGAGATTCGAGTCGGTGAAATTCGCGGGGACGAATGCTCGCTGATTTATTAATTCGTAAATTGCACTCGAAGCATTAAATGGCCATTATTCTGTAGTTCGTAGATCGATGTGCCGATAAGTTCGCACGACTGTTTGTTACATTACCTTGAAATGTGTATACAATGTATGAGACGATGGTCTCGGTTTATCTATTTCTTTATTCCGATATCTTTATCACATTGCGGAAAAGTAATTCAATTGGCGTTAATTTCATTTCAACGGAGGATGTCTTTTTTTTTTTCTTTTTTAACACATATTTACAATCCAATGCATCACCCGATTCCCAAGTACACACGCCCAAACCATTGAACGGCCATTATCCATTCGTTATTAGTAATTGGTATTATAATAATGTTGATCGCGACGTTGTATTGATCTTTTCTTTTTTTTTTTTTTTTTTTTCATTATAATAGTCGTCTTATAACGAGCCGCCTTACAATTTTTTTCGCTAATTGAAGATAATTTGAGCTTAACGTAGCATTAACGCGATTGGCAGAGCTTTTTAGGTTCGGTAATGAGTAAATAGGACATGTGTACAAGTTTGGTGATCGAAACGATTTAAACGCACGCAACCCTCGTTTAAGTCCTTTAATCGCTTATTCTCACTCGCAACTCTCCTCGTACATGTTCTCGATACAACCAGGCGCATAAGCTCGTCCGACTGCGAACTTGAGAGAACTTTTAATTTAACGAACGTTAAATGTGAGTGCCGATTGAAAGTTTTTGACGTTATCTTGATCGATCGATACTTTACATACTTACCGAAATCAATACGCTCCTTCGTGAAAATCCTTAAATTGCGATCACGAGCGCTTATTTTTCATTTTTTTTTTTTTTTTTTTTGTCCAATATTATAATAAACGAACAGTTAATACATTTAGTTGAATATATTTAAAGATCTTTGTCGCTACACCATTGGTCAGCCGCGGCAAAGATACGCCTAAAGATACGGAATAAATGACAAGAAATTATGAGAAAACTAAGTATTAATTTCATTTTCAGTATAAGTAGGTGGCTGTATCGAATAATATCGATGGAAAAGATCGTAAATATTATATAACATTATAGTTGTATTCCAAGCATGCCATTGCATGACCTATTTCGGCACAATCGGTAAAAGTTTATTTGTCGGCAAGCTTACATAGAATAATTACAACACTTAAAATGTAAATTTCTAATTTCAACGTCATATAAATCTGCCAATTTAATTGACGACGATTGAATTACTAATTATATACGACGATTCAATTCTTTAAACAATTTTTTTTTCGTTTTAAACTTTTTTCCCTCTCGTGCATTATAAATTGATAATAATATAGGGGGAGGGGGAGACTGTTCCAATGAATAATGTTAAAATTTTAACAAAGTCTCTGCTTCATCGTAAGCCATCGATTGTAAAATAAACGTCTGCGATACTAAGTCGTATCAATATTTTCGCTACTCAACGACAAACTGACGAATCCTTACGCGTACGTGTATGTCTCTCTCTCTCTCTCTCTCTCTCTCTCTCTCTCTCTCTCTCTCTGTGTGTGTGTGTGTGTGTGTGTCGCGCGCACACTCTGAACCCAAGAACTTTGCTTCGATCTGCAAACAATTCGATTCACTAACGACACGCGCAATACACTATATCCGAGCGTTGTAAAATCGCCTTTTGAAAATATTAGCGATGAAAGCTCCGACGCTAGAGAGACGAATCGACGACGATGCTGTTAATTTCCATTGGACCATCTTATCGCGCCTCATATTTATCACCCTTGATTCCCGTCGTAGTATGCCGTGATTATCGTGTCGACAGCTAGGAAGCTAAAACTTTGCCTTCGATGGCATTGCGCGGCCATATAGACACGAGAGTCTAAAGATTCTTACGTAAGCTTAGCTAAAGGGTCGTCGGCACGGCGCTTCGACACCGATGCCTCGCGTACGTGGCAAGGAAAGAGAATCGTGATTCGAAAATGGAATGGCAGAATGGTAGAAGGAGGCCGGGGCTGACGTTTACCCGCTCAGTGCCTACGCCGATGATATCGGCCCAGCGTACGTAAAGCCCCAGCCTCGACTCCTCAGCACCCACACACTCGCGCGCGTTGTCGAGAGGGGATGACTCGCCTTCGAGAGAAGGATGTCCCCTACGTTCGCGGATTCTCACGAAGGAGCCCGTATAAATACAAATGCCCGATGCCTCGAGGATTCATTGCCGCAGAGCGGGAGGTGATAAGGAGGTGGCCTTCCTCGTACCGCCCGATCATGCGAGCCCAGAGTCGTCTAACATAGATCGCTTCCTCACGATCCCCCAACGCAGCTTCGTACACTATGGCCACTACACCGAGGAGTCCACGAGTTCTCGACATTACGGTATTGAGCCGCGCTCGCACACGTACTTCCACACCTTAACTATCCACGTGAATTCTCGAGTCCGGTATTTGGGGGTTTGGCCTTCCGCGAGGGTTTATTATGAGCTTCTCGGCGGCTATTCTGTAAGCTCGGCTAAGCTCACAGCCACGTGGCATTAATTCCTTATATATACCGAGAATATTACCCTATTATAAAAGATGACATAAAAGAAGATATTCCGTAGTACTCGCGCACAAGCTTCGTAAATTATGGTATCGCGAGTGCGAGACTTGAGAAGGTCTGGGAAGGTATGGGAAAGGAGGTCGATACTCACGACGTACGTATCATAGATGCTGTGCTTGTTGGCGTCGTGGTCCCAGGCAGTCCCGGATAAGCTATCGCCCAGACAAAAAGCTCCGGAATACGCGAGGAGTTCGGGAGGCAGAGCCCTGCTTCCACCCGCGTCCGGGCAGACCCCGGCGAACGTTGGTAAATTGGAGTCGTCCGGGCCAGGGTCTCGAGTGAAGCAGGTCTCGGCGCCACAACAGGATAATGTCCAGAAAGACGAGTCCGTCTCGTTCAAGGAAGTGGATGGCGAATCTGTGAGAGTCGTCGTCGGTAACTACGGCTACGAGAGCCCCGAGGGTCTGCCCGTCTCAATCAAGTGAGTCGAACATTATTCCCCTTTGTTTTCTCTTATTGGCTTACGAATGGTGATAGACGCAGAGAGAAAGAGAGAGAGAGAGAGAGAGAGAGAGAGAGAGAGAACTGGTATTAAGCTCTAAATTATTTATACGACATTGTAAAGCTCGTAATTGGTACGCGATATTAATTATTTTTCTTCGCCACGTGAAGGATACCATTGCTATCATTTCATCATTGATAATTGATTGATTGGCTTATTCGAGTTAAGTAAATTAGTTGGATTAATTAATATTGAGAAAAAAAACTCATCGATACGGTGAAAAATATTAATTATTGCAGAAAAATTCGCGTGAATTATTACGATTGAACAAAGAAGCGTACTATTAAAATGGGATACTTTTTCTTGAAAGATACATGGCCGATGAAAATGGAAACAAGGCGAGTTTTACCATTGGGGCGGCAGCTGGTGGAGGAACAGGAGTGAAACCGAGACCTTCCTCGAATATTCAAGGACCAGCAGTTGGCGGTACGGGAAAAAGCGGTGGTAGAGGTGGAGCGGGAACCGGCGGTGGAGCCGGAACCGGCGGTGGAGCGGGAACCGGCGGTGGAGCGGGAACCGGTGGTAGAAATCAAGGCGCAACTGGTAACGGAGGAACTAGAGGGTCTGGTAAACCTGGTGGTGTGAATCGTTCGGAAGGACTTCCTGGAAACAAAGACAGAAAATACTTACCTCCGCCAATTAAATCAAGATAATTTATCCTCTATATCTGATTTAGATCATTTTTTTCTTTCTTTATTATACTTTTAAAATCGATATAAACGTTAATAAGATTTTAGATTTAAGCAAATAAATAATTATCATTACCACATTATGAAATATAACTTTTATATTGCTTAACGTATAAAATATTATATAATTATGTATATTAGATTACTTAGGAATTTAACCGAATCATTGGATTTCTCGAAATTAAAAAATTATAATTATTATTGCAATCATGTTTTATCGTTCATTATTAGATAGATATCAAGACGTAAATTTCTAAACAGATTTTCCAAATAATTTCTTCTGAATTTGACAAAGAACTCATTGCGAGAAAATGAAAATCCTCATAGAGATAATGCAAAAAGAAAGCACTATTCATTAACTAAGTTGGAAATGTTCGTATTTTAGAATAATTTCATAACGTGTTTACTTTATATATTTATAATGTAAACAATATTATAACACCAAGTCCTATTAAAATTTTCGAATAAAAAATGTAATGATTATCACACGATAAATAATACTTTTCATTAAACAATATATTTCAGTTCAGCAAATTACATTGGTCATAATTCCTTCCATGCGTTGTATGATTCAATAAAAAAAAAATAAATAAATAAATAAATAAATAATAATGAAATAGATAAATAAAAAAAAGCACAATATAATTTTATGTCAATGCAACCTTATATTAAGAAATTGCGCTTGTCATTAGGAAGTAACTTTCCAACTACTACACTTTTAAGATTTAGATTATCAATTTTATTCGATTATACAGTTCGGTTAAACTGATTGCATCTAGCTCCACATTTTCTTTCTTCGAAGCTTTTATCTTAAATGCGTGGGCACATATTCTATTTAATGTACATTAAATGTAACAACGGCAATCAATTAAAAATATAGAGTCTGTAAATTGGTGTTAATAAATTACCCAAAGACAGTTATTATTATTATCAAATTCTCCTTTCATAAAATAATAATTTAATAAAATTATTTTATAAACATAATTCACTTTAGTTCGAAAAAGTTTTTCTATACAAAACGATTACAATATTTTGATAGTCGCTTAAGTTTTTCTGCTACCTCTTCGTTATCGACAATTGTTTACAATAAGTTAGGCTGTACGAAACTATTAATACATTTATGATTTGTAAATCTGTAATAAATTTAATTTACAATTGTCCAATTTGATCTAATACCATCACCACTTGAAATTACAATAATTGCAAATATTTGATTGCAAATATTTGCAAAATCCTCATCATCAATTTTCTTGATTTTCTTGGCATACTTTACGCGATCTCACTTACAGGTAAGTTATTTATTAAACAATAAGTGCCATTGATCGTAACAATTGCTTATGAATATAGAAAATATTTGTATGTATCTTTTAATTGCTTGATTCAAAGTCCATCATTACGTTAAATAAATTTAAGATGTTCGGCAATAATGGGAGGATAGAAAATTTCTTTGAAATATATTTTATAATCGTGGAAATATCATTTACTATTATATATATATATATATATATATATATATATCATCACAAATCATCATCATCATCATCATCATCATCATCATCATCAGCAAGGAGCATCTCGTGTTGATAAACTATTCACCACAGGATCAGTTCAAGCAAATGCACAATATTTCCTCGACTCCCAAAGCCAGTAACTGTTTCATTGCCACCCGGGTGACGTTGATTACTTTTTCCAAGTCGACTTTCTCCCCTTAATTTTGTTTAAATTGCAGAAGGCTTGTTTGTACCGTGAGTTGGTTGTCATTGGGAGTCCAGAATTTAACTGCACTGCTGGACATTGTACTGCTGCGCGGAGGTGATGTATTTTTTCAGCCTCGCTAGTGTCATCCTTATTCAGGACCAATGCCTTGAAAGGATGACGAAACTCACGCCAGTCGTCTCGATTTCCTGAGCACTTGGGAGGACTGACGTTTTGGAGTCGGGCTCCTTGTGCTTGTGCCTTGATTGGCCTTGACTTATCTCACATCGAAAACTGTCTTGATGACTTGGCGAAGTTTAGTGATGATCTTTCGCGTCGTCTTATATTGTGCGAATTCCTTCTCATATACATTTTTCACCAAGTAATCGTGATTGAGCTGAACAGTTGGCTATGTTGTGGTCATGTGCGCATGATCCTTAATGAAGGCCGTGTGCAGTTCCTCGACGTGTGAAAATGCGTCTGATATTTCATTTGGTGAGATGACACACTGTAATATGTTCATAATGTTCCTCAGCTAGGCTCATCATTAGTCAGATGCGAGACCATTACGTTTTTGCCATTATCAAATGTTCACAGGATAAGTGTGTCGATGAAGCACTCCTGCGTGTGGATTTTCTAGGATTTTTACGCAGACTTTGTTTCCTCAGAGTGATGCAGAGGCCTTGATCTGATCCTCTAATGAATAATTCACCATCGCGAATACTCTTTGTTGATGGTGATGAATTATTGCTGATTTTGCAAGAATCAGCAATGATTATGCACGCGCCTGGATTAAGGAGTATGTCTTGTGTCATCTGGCGTTTTCTTGATACGAAGGAGATAACACGCGAACACCTTTTTTGCATCACAGGAGAATCGACGCGTCTTACTTCTATCATGGCCTTACTTAGATACAGTTTATTCACTATAGTGACACCTGTATGTAAGGGCCTGCCTCTTCTTCCTTCTTGTCCCGACCCACTAAGAGAGCGCCTTTCTCGAAGCGTGTTGCCTTAAATATCCACGCGACAGCCTAGTTAGAGCTGATAACAATCGAGGTGATTATGGTGCTAGAAGCAATGGCTGCGCTGTGCACATTAGATTCTTTTCATATGTCCAACGACCGTTGCACTTCTCCCCGGATGGCTAACACTCTTGGATCTTTCCCCCGATGTCTGATTAATATAGTAAATGTCCGACACTCGCGAGAGATTCTCGCAATTAAAAATAAAAAATCCAACATTTCTCTTTTATATAATAAGAACTTTAAAACAATTTATAAATTGAAAACTATATGCTGAACGATGTTTTAAAATGTCAAAACCATAGTGTAAGATTAATGTATTGGCGTTTTAATGGTTTGATAAAACGATTGACAATAAGATTTAATGGAAAAACTTCGTTTTATTCGGTAAACTTGTTTTAATAAAAATTCATTATTTATAGTTATTGTATCATTGTAATCGAATATATTTAATATATTCATTTATTTAAACATTGAGTTTTAAAAATAATTAAATTTATATTCAAATAATTTAGTGTGATTCCGTGAAAAGTCATTCTCATACAAAATAATAATTCTAAATAATGTAATATAATATATTTTATAATTCGTGGGTGATTTATGAACTTGTGTGTCCGTAGTTTCATTCGGCAAATAATAAAATTAATTTCAACGTATAACTGGTGTTTCAATTAAGCTTTTATACCATAATAATGTTATACTAAACAATATCGAATAATTGGAAAATTAATATTCAATATATGAATAATGAATTATAATTTTTTATATATAATGAATAATACCAAATTTATTTAAAAGTATTACGATTACTAATAATATACAATATAATTTTACATTGATATAGTAAAATACGATACTGTATAAAATTTTTCTATAAATTTTCTTAAGTAAATGATTATTGTCGTTTCATTATGTAATTGAAATCGTTTATATGAAAAGTAAAAAAGACAAGATTTTCCATTTATTAATATAAATTTTACTGCTATATTATATTTTTATCTTTATGCAATAGTATAATACTCTCAATAGCTTAATAGTTTAGATTTATAGTAATAACAAGATATAATGAAAGATATCTTAATAAAAAGTAGGCTATTATTACAAATTACTGTGTGCAAAATTTTATCTATAAAATAATATTGATAAACTGATTGTTGAAGCTTTCTCCCTATTGTTATTCTTTAATACGTAATATATTTAATATAATTCAGTTTAATTAGAAAAATGATTAATGTTTTAAAAATTTATTGGTCAATCTGTTGCCGATGTATATGAAAATAATGACAATATTTTTGTTTTTCATTTATTATATTTTTCTTGCATACTGAAATCAATTATTTATAAAAAAAAAAAAAAAAAAAAAAAAAAAAAAAAAAAAAAAAAAAAAAATGGCTTCATTTCCACATATATTGTTTTAGTGCATTTTTTCACATTTCATCAAGGCATATAACACTTTTTAATTTATGCAATATTTTTTGTAAAAATCATTATTAAAAACGACATAGACTCTAGTTAAATTGAGATGTAAGTTTTTAAAACGATTTTATCAGCTTTACGTGTGCTCCCAAATATTTGTCTGTAGAACGAGATAAATTTACGTAATACACGTACTACATAGATATATGTCGAATATAGATATCAATGATCTACATATATGATGCAAAATAAAATCATTACTACCTAAGTATTTAACTAGGTGCTTATAGAAGTAATTAGCTTGTAGAGGTAATTAAAATTCTATCGTAGATTTATGCGTGTAAGTCATTACTAAAACGTCACTACAGTTTCAATCTTAACTTCCAATGGTCACATAATTTTTCTTCATACTTAATATTTCCTTGAATAATATTGAGTTTTCACGTCCGTAAAACTACTAAATCTATTATCTCGCTCCCAAAATAATAACAACATTATATATGTGTGTGCGTGCGTGCGTGTACATACGTATATAATATACATTTTTATGAAATATGTAAGGTAATAAAGAAAAATAAAAAAAAAGAAAGAAAGAAAGAAAAAAACTACTTAAAATAAAAATGTTTTATTGCGGATACGAAACATTGAAATATAATTCTGCGCTTGACATAAATTTCGTCAATAATTTATCTAAAATTTCGCTTTAACGTTAAGATCCCCGGTACGTTGTATATCCAAATGCATTCAATAATAAAGGTATGTGATAGTGTCCTGCCTTATCAATATCAAAAGTTACATCAATGAATGGATATAATGTTTTCGAATCGATTGAGTCATAATATTGTTTTACAAGAAAGTGTAATTTATATGTACCAGGTGTAAATTCCAAATAATCGTCAATAAAATTTTCAAATCTACCACTACTTAACGTTTTCCTGAAATAGAATAAAAAATTGCAATAAATTTTTTAATATAAAGTATAATCGATGTAATTACCCTTCGCTCACAAGTATCCATTCATTGTCATTTTTCAATATGTAAAGCTTTACCGACATATTACACACTGGAAGTCCTTTACTCGTATCCAACACATGTGTTGTTATTTTGAAATTTGATGAACTCATAATGAAATTATGATTAACAAATTAAAAATATTCTATTTTTATTATTTCCAGTTTGACTATAAATACAATTTCGAATATTATAAGCAGGCGTTTTAGGTTGGAATGCTTTATCACACTTTAATAATGAGTTTGGAATACTAATAATTCCAAGATAAATTATATATATATACAAGATAGATATATGTATAGCTGCCAACCAGAATATTAAAGGTTATGAAACGCTACTTTAATATGATTACAAGAGACATTTTCCATTTAATACTATACAGCTTTTAAAAGATCGTACATCCTTAATGTATTTACAAATTTACTTACAAACTTATTTTTTTAAACTTGCTAAAATATTTTCTTTTAAATATAATGATTAATATTAAAAATATTATTCTATTATTATTATTATTTATTTATTTAAACATTAGAGAATTTATTATTATTGAATTGGAAACTAAGCCAATATTTATAAAACTATACATTTTGTACAATATTAGTTTGTATTTTAATCGATTGTTAAGTATTTTAAGGGAATGTGAATCGTCATTTTAAAATACTTCTATTTAAGAGATATTTTTTGAGATCATCGCAGAATTTAATATTTATTTATTTATTATAACAAATATAATACATCATTCTTTTTCTTTTAACTATTTAATATTAATTCGGTTTGAAATTAAATTTATCAATATTTTATATATTAAAGTTACTTATAAATTTTACAAATTTCTTTTACATATTAAACTTTTTCAATTGATTTAATAATACAATTGAAAATTTCGTGATTTTTACATTACCAAGTGGTATTTAAAATTTAATCGCGGATAGAAATTTAACGACTGGAATGTAAAAATTAATATTTAAACGAATAATGCCTCTAATATCACTACACGTATTTTAGCGAAAATATCAATTGCTTTTAATATTAATAATATGAAATTATTTATTATTAATAATCTGAAACTGACTGCTCTTTGAAAATTAATAATAGCAGCATATATATGTTGTTATATTTATGTATATATATATACATAAAAAATTCGTCTAATTTTGTGATAAAATGCGTGACATATATATGATACAAAATTAAAACAAATAAATATGTAACGGTACATAAGAAATGCAATGTAATATTTTGCGATTCGCAATAATAGATTAAAAAATTTAATTGTGCTTAATATTTTTTTCTCTGTTTTGAAAAGTCTAAATAATAATTTGCAGAAAATTTTTATGTTCAAACAATAGAGAATTATATTTTTAAGCAAATTCCATAAAATATGAGAATATTTTAATATTTCTTTTAAAAGTTTCTTTATTTGAAAAATTATTATATAACTTTTTTGTCAATTAATTTATTCACATTTAATGAGAAAATTTGTAATATCTTTACAAATCATGCTTTATTACAATCTATTAACATTAAACAAAAGAATTTGCTTTTATAATACAAAAATAATAAAATATTAACTCAAACTTGGCATTGCCGTGCAATATTATGTATCATTTGATGAAATATTAATATAATACAATTTCTATTGTAATTTTAGTGAATAATTTAACTTGACTTTATTATTTAATTAATAATAATTATAAAGAACCGTTTTATAAAATATGCTTAAATTAAGTAAAGTAAAGAAGATGGTAAAGCAAAATATGTAAAAATCCTTTCACATTCCGTTAAAATAATTAATTTAAAAATAGAATTAATTATAATTACTGACTTCATCTACGCGAATCTTTATATGTGCTGTAACTAAATGGGCTAAGCAAAAGTGGAACATGATATGATGAATTAGGATCTTTGATATCAAAAACGATTTCGATGAATGGATAAATAGTTGCTATTTTTCTCATTGCGTAATATTTTTCTACGTCATAATGAAGTTTATAACGTCCGGTTGAGAGATTGTTTGTAGCTGAATTTAAAAAATTATTGCAATTACCATTGGCAGTTGTGATACTAAAATAAGAACATAAGTATAATTGATACGTTCGTTAAGATGTAAAATTATAATTATAATAATTACCTTTCATGAATAAATGTCCATCGACCATCTTGTAATTTGTAAAGACTAACTTGCAGTCCACAAACTGGTACTCCTTTACTTGTTTCCAAAACATGCGTACTAACAATTGGCTTCTTTATTAAAACGGATTTTGTCGTCATTAATGAGGTGTTTGACGATAAAATATTCTACGTAAAGAAGACAAATTGATTGCATAGACTACATAATTATTGTAAAATTCATATATTGTTTAATACCTTATTTGTAGATTCTTGACTAGTACTCGCCGTAGTAATATTAATTTCAGGTATTGTATCTTTAGTATTTTTACCATCCCGTTTTGCAGTTTTAAATAAAGTTAAATTTTTATTGAATTGATTCAATATAAGCTGCGGAAGTTTACTTTTTACTAAAGTATAGGATTTTCCACCAGTAGAGAAAAAGTACACTTTTTTTGAATTATCCGAAGGTAGTACAGAATTTGTAGTATCCAATGATGATATGGTATTCTTAATCTCTTCATCGTTACTCAATTGCTTCTCTATTTCGTCATCCTAATAATGTTGTTGTATTAAATTACCAATTAATGAATTTTTTTTAATATAATCTCATATACGACGTTTAATCAGCATTAAGAGTAATTAGAAAAAGTTACAGCAGCGATAGAAAAATCCTTATTATTGAAATACCTAATGTAACTTACCGAGCTATTTTTAATGCTCGAAGAATTTGACAAATCTTTTTGTATGTCAAATTGATTCTTTGAATTTTCTAAGTTCTCATATTTAATGAGTTCATACGATTTACTTTCTTCGTCGTCGTTATCGTGATTTGGTTCAACGACCATTTGTAATTCAATGGATTCGTTATTCTCTGTCAAGTAATCCGATTGAACGTGGGACATAGCTTGCGCTAAAGTATCCTCGGCCTGTTCCTAACACAGATAAATGTAAAAATTGTAAATTTATACATATATATGTATATAGAAATTTGTTTAAATCAACAGAAATATACCGTAAAATTTATTACCTTTTGAAGACGAATTTTTTTCACTGGGGTTGCTGTATCGGTATCTGTTTCTTCCACAATTTCTTCTTGCACTTCGCTTTCAATAGTTATTTCCTCTCCATCTTGCACATACGTTGTATCGTCGTAATTTGAATCTTCGTAATCATCCACATCTAATCTTTCGACAACATAATTCATATCATTCGATATTTCTTCCACTTGTTGACTGCTTACTGCTTGCATCTATACCAAATGATTTATTATAATTAAATGCATACGTATGCAGTATATATATATATAGCACATTTTTTTAGTTTAAAAGTAAATGGCGATGTTTAAATCAAGCGGTGAGTACCAAAGGGACACGACATAAATAGTAATTTACTAAACTTTTCATTTACATAATGCCTTGGATATATTGGATACAATACCTTATTATATTGAATAGCAGCTCTTTGATGCTTTAAGGTACACATGTGTTTTAACAATGATAATCGATGAGCATGTAAATTCCTTTGGCAAAATTTACAAAAAGCTCGAGTTGCCTGGTATGGTACCGACGTTAGCCATTCTACGAAAGAAATGAGAAATAATATGATACTATAAAACATGGCTTTAATGAAAATGTAAATCCGTAATAATGGCCTAAGGTATTTGCCAGAATTTCATCAATAACAATGTTTACCTTTAAAGTCCGTCATGTGTTCCCATTCTTTACGATATCGCTGTGTATAAACGCGTGTTTTAGCATGACTGATTTTTCCAGTTGGCGTTAAACGTACGATTTCTGATGTATTATTAGATTCCACTTTCGGCGTAACTTCTACTTTAAGCACAACATTGTCTAAAATTGCCTTATCCTCCTCCATCTACAAGTTCTGTTAAGCGGCACGAAGCAGGATTATATGCACTTTCAAAAACACTTCAAACAACCAAATGTTCTTGAATTTCTCCACTAGATCACCATATAAATAATAGTTTTTTTTACGTCACGGTTGAATACGAAAAAGCTCGTCACTAGTACCGGGGCCTAGAGAGAGAAAATTTTCTAACATTCCGAGAGTGGTGTGTCGTGTGTCGCGTATCGCTCAATTATACTCGCCGATGTTTATATTCTGCTCAATGTTCTCTCCAACTCTAGAACAGAAAATGAACTCCCTAGAAGCGGATGGCATGCCATTTAGGCTTTAGAAATAAGTTATTTTCCAAGATTTCCAAATGCCTTTAGCTGGCCTCTGAATCAATTAGGGCTAAAATGGCGCTTACAATGGTTAAGGAGACTAGGAGAGTCGAGTAACTTACCTTTGTCTCTAGGTAAGTCTGGCCACGGTCGTAGCCGTGGGGTTAATTGGGATATTGGGGGAGGTGCGCGAGACGTGGAGGTAGAAAGAGCGATGCAAAGGGAAATTGCGAATGTGCGAAGAGTCCGAAGAGACGCATATGGGAGGGAATAAATTTTTTCGTTTTGAGGCCTCGTCTTCTTTCATTGTTCCAAACGCCATCTACCAAATTTCGGTGTCAAATTGCCTAATCCTTATAAACTCGGGCGAACATGTCACTTTACTTTCCTTTCGTCCCCGTCTATCTCTCATTCTCTCTCTCTCTCTCTCTCTCTCTCTCTCTCTCTATCAATCACCCTCAATCACCAACTCTCGTTCCAACCATCGCCACTCCGTATAAAATCGCAACATATACGAGGCATTTTTCAAGTAAATTTTTTTTTTTGTGATCCGTGCTTTAAATAGAGACTAGGCATTCGAGAATGTTTTTCTATCTATTATTCGTTTTGTTCCTGGTCAATCAACCGGCAGCCCCACTAATTATAATTATAAAATAAAAGCATAAATAAGGGAGCTCGTGAATGATGAAATTAGGATGATTTATTTTCTCTTCTAGACAATTTTGCCGTTCATTATGGCTTGAGAGCGAAAGCCAATTGGTCAATATGACTCTCAACATTGCCTGAATACACTTTGAAAATACGAACTTTAAATATCAAATGGAATATATATATATATATATATATATATCTGTGTGTGCGTTTGCGTGCGCGCGCGCGCGCATACACAATATTATAGGGAAACGCTAGTAATTTATTATTGTAACATTAGTACGCTTAAATATAGAGTCTGATATTTATTTATCTAGACTTGCGAGAGTCAAGTCATTTGGTAATATTTTTGTTTGATTTGAAATGCGAAGAGAGGCACATCTTTCGCTCATATTTGACATTATTTTCAGATAAATGAACTTGAGGCACCGAGAACTGACAGTAATATTTCAAAAACGATTTCAAACTATGTTATATCGAGACGTTTTCTTCGCGTTATCCCAGGCCAATATACGTTTTTTATGTGAATCTAAATATTTAATTTTCCCTTTTCTCACATAATTCAGTATCATATTGGCACTGTCTGCAACTATTGTACGTATAGGTAAGAGAACAATAAAAATTTTAAAAAAGTTCATGCCAATGTACCGGCAATATTTTAACAAATTTTAGACGTGACAAATTATACGTGAAACGAGCGTCGAGGGTCTTAAAATTTAATTGAAAATTCGAAAGTTCGAATACTTGTTTGAATTACAATAAAAATACACCCTTCAGCTGCGCGTAAAATGTGCTTCTTACTTCTGCAACATCTTTATAAATTCTTTTACCTGAGACTATATATATATATATATATATATATATATATATATATATAAATACGCGCGCATATATACATGCGTATGCACGTACACATAAGTGTGTGTATATGTATGTATATATATATATATATATATATATCTATACATATATATACATATGTACCTGCCGGCGCCTATTGCAGATTTGAAAGGGTCCACCGCTTTTCTGGCGTCGCAGGTTCGCCGGCGGCCGTTACAATTATATTATGGACTGAGTAGTTCTTTAAGATGCACCTGACGTCATGCTGCTTCGAATAATTTTATCTTGTAAATTAAAGTAATTACACAAGTAAAGTTCCCGAAGAAAGATAAACAACTTATTGTTGTTAGTATAGCTGTCGATGTAGGTATAAATATTATTTTTAGTTAGCGAATTTCATAGTCGATGATTGAAAATATTATAGAATTGTTACATCTGCCATGATATGTATATTAAAAAAAATTTAAGTATTCCATTATAGTGCTTTATTAAATGTTTTATATTATTTTTCAGAGATGTTGGATTAACGAGGTGATAAATTATCTTCAAAATGAACCCATAAGTGCCAGGTAATTCCAATAAATTAATTAATACTATATAGGGCATTATTTTTTAATGCATTACCTATTTAAAATAATGCGTGATTCTTTGTGTTAGACAAAGAGAATAAAAAATGAAGAAATATAGAGTGGAAGCTTTTATAATACCGAGTCAAACTAAGCTTAGTATCGAATCCAATCAAATTGATGATGTTAAGCTTGCCAATAAATTAAAAGATCAATCGTTTAGCTCGGTGGAAGAGATGCAAATTCAAAATGACATTAAAGAATTAAATGAAAGTCTGGACGAATCCGCTAGCTTATGCAATAAGTTAGAGAATGATGAGCAATACTCGTCAGAATTTTCAGAGATATTTTTTGAAACTAACGAGCATATCTATGACGAAATAATCCTTCCAGAAAATAAGGAAACGATAAATGTTAAGAGCGAAGTTAATACGGAATACACAAAGGCCTTCCTTCGAATCGAAGAACCTATCTATGACGAACCTTTTGTTGGAGCTTTGTACGATATAAAATCGAAAGAAAATAATAATATTTATGATGTGCCTCAAACTCGATGGGCATTAGGCACTTCTAAATACCGACGTTTTGGAATAGTTGCGCCAAAACTACCAAAACGATCCAGTAGCTTGAAATCTATAACCGAAGACATCGAAGGGTTTGATACTTTGCAAGAAATGTGTGGTGGTCGTGGATATAAAAATGCTCGTATACCTAATGGTCAGCAACCGGAAGATATAAGCGAAGAAATATTTAAAGAAAACTGGATGCAAAGACTAGACGCTTTAAGAAAATTGGAGACATTGTTAAAAGATAAGGAAATTGCATTGCAATCGAGAGAAAGACTTTTATTTAAGAAAGAAAAGGAATTGAAAATTTTAGAAAGACTGGTAAAAGATAAAATGAAACAAGCAGAATTGTATGCAAAACGTTATAAAAAATCATTGAGTTCTGAGAGCATAATAAATAATGAACGAAATGTAGAATGTAGATCTTCTAATGGCTCGAAAGGTCTTAGTAAAATTGAGGTTTCAACAAATTTACCCAATTTCCCATTAAGAGTAAATTCAAAAGCTATGCAGATAAATAAAGATGAACAAATCTTAAAAAATTTACCAAATTCAAGAAATTCACTCACGTCGGACAGATTATGTAATAGAATAGGTAGCGTGAGAAAGCCAAAACATCGTCAAAAAATAAAATATGACGATTTTGATTCGACTTTATCAGCTGATAATGGAGACGCGTCCTTCATAATAACTTCAAAAATATTTGATCCAGAAATATTTAAGAAACCAATGGCATTTACTCGATCGGCGAGTGAAAGACGACCAAGAATTGATCAACAAGCAACAGCATCGAGACTCGGTAGCTTAACAGATAAAGACAAGCACACCGATGGTTTTATAGATGTAATGGATGAAAAGACATTCAAAAAAATTAGTGAAAATATCCTTGCCTCGCAAGATCAAGAAGCAATATTTTTAAATTATGGTCTTATCGATAAAAAATCTTTAATTAATAAGAAGAACGTAAATAAAGGTAACTCGCTCGATCAAAAAAGAGATACTTATTTAAATTTAGAATGCACAAATAAATCAAATATGACAAAAACAGCACCAACTGAACGTCCAATTTCCTGGAGCGAAGATACAGACGATTGGTTAAAAAAGAAAAGACAAGCCTATAATTTAGCAACGAAGAATGTGATGGTACAAAATATGGCTGAAAAGGAAAACTTTAATACATATCCAAAAATGAAGAAATCTGTGAAAAACACAGTGAAAAAGGAAAATAGTCGAAAAAAATTTTCCTTATTTCGTTAATTGAATAAAACTAAACATAACCAAGTCTTTGAAATATATGAAATATGTTTCCACTTAATCACGTCTAATTAATCATTAAAAATACCTTAAAAATTGCGTTCTCCGTCTATTTCTATAATAACATAATATTATATATATTAATATAAAATTAATTTTAAATAGTTATAAAATTCCATAATAAATATTTTCAAAATACGATTTACATAAAAATCAGTGTAATATGTTTTGAACATTTTTATTTATTAATAAGATAAGCTAAAATAACAAAGCTTATAAATGATTATTAAAACTGCATCGAGTATAACTACTACCAGGATGGTACTTCGGGTGGAGTTGCTCTTTTATAAAGAGCTGATTTATCTCTAAACATTGATAATCTTTCATCTTCCAGGTGATCCAATTTTCGGCCAATTAAATAGAAAACTAATGGAACGGTGAATAATAGGTACTGTTTAGCGTAATTGATTTTCACCATTTTTATATCATTTAATTAAGTTGATTTTGTGCAGCTTGACTTTGCTTCCACTTATGCGTATGATGTAAATCGGCAAATATGAGACTAAATATTATAGTTGGAAATATTATGACTGTTCTGTACTTTTTAAACAGAAATCCAAGTTTTGAAATACCCATTAAACTGTAATTGATATTTCTATTTAGCAATATGATATTATATACGATATACTTAACAGCTAAAAGTTAATAATAACAGATATGTCCACCTAATTAATTAAGGTTATGTGCATCTATCTATTTATTGATTATATAAGAATGATAATTTTAATATGGCACGAATTATTAATATTGAAAAATGAATTTAATGAAATTATAAAAATTAAGTGCAATATTGTATGTGTAACATTATACAGGTATATATACATAATGTCAAATACCGATAATGTAACATATACATTATTAATCAATTACTCATAACCTTACAACATATATAATTGCTTTATTGTCAATAAACTTAATACTTATATTTATCATTTAAACATAGATTAAAAACAAATATTAAAATAATTTTCGTAAATCCAAAAACTGCGCTAAAAAAAACACACACACACACACACACACACATATAGAATAAATTTTTTAACCCAATTACCAGTGCAAATGATCTATTCTTATAAGTATTCGTGCATCTCAATTTGTACTCTATATTTTCCTATTCAGATGAATGTATGTTAATGCCGATGATCTTCGCCTCTCCAATCCCTATTCTTAATAAATTAGTGTTGCAGATTTTTTGAAATCATAAACTTACTAAGGCTTACTAAGCTGAGATTTTTACCATACATGAAAATTAGTAAAATGAACAAAAGTCGTGGACCTTTTTACGCTTGCGCACTAGTAATACAAGCAAGCAGATTTAATGTAATTTTATCCTAAAGTAAGAAAAATAGGTTTCTTATGCATGCGAGGCAATATCGTGTATATTTTTGGATTCTAATGGTCAGGTTTCATGGTGCAGGAGTGAATTGGTTTGATCCTGGATAAATATAATATATAAGCAGATGAACTATATTATTTATAATTACACGTGGGGTGTCCCTTTTTACGTCCTCGAAAACACTTGTTCAAGCAGGTGTTCAAGCATAGCAATCAATCAATCTAAAGCTGTTACTGGCCATTCAATTTTACACACCGTTCAGGGCCAAATTCTTGCACCTGGACATTCGACTTCCATTAATTTTAAAACCAATTGTCCGTGGAAAAATTACAATACGGGAATGTTCCCGTGCCCGAATCATGATAATTTTTATGTATTTGTGCTTGCGTAATATAAATACAAAATACGTGCGAATATCGGGAATATGTTCAAATGCGCTTATACGCTTAAAAAGGTAGGATTTATTTAAAGGTGAAAGATTTTTTAAGTAAACTGAGCAGGTTCGGGAACTTAAATTAATTATAAGATACTATCGTCTCAAAGCCATATTTATATATATTTATATATTTATACACGATATACTCGGTGTTAAATTCAAAGCGTAAATTATTTTAGTATATTATAATTCCTGACATTTACTTCTGACAGTTAAAAACATTAAATTAATTATGTAAAAACGATGCGGTTATTTTATCTGCTCTGATTGTGATTGCTAAAAAAAAAAAAATGAAAATTTGGATTCATTTTGGCCTTCAAGATGTCTCAACAGCAAACTCTTTACGAATTTTTAACTGCTTTAGGAAAACTAAGAACTGATTGTACAAATATTCAAATACGATCGATCGATCTCGTATCAAATGATAATCAATGGTCTAATGTTGGCCGGTGGAGCAGCAAGTGGAAGGGGCTGGTGTTCTTGGCGGTGTTTGCCAACCAATTATAAGGTAGATTTTAAAGTGCGAGACATAGGTTTCAAAAATTCAGATCTGCTTGAATTTAAGGCTTAAATTCGCCCTCGATAGTCAGGTCACGTGCAGCCAGGTCGCTTCGAATTTGGATAGATCTTGATAAAAGGATAATTGAAAAATGACTAAAGTTAATAGTTAACTGAAAGCTCGCATACTTTTTGCAATATTCATTAATATTTACCGTTATTTCTTTTTATGTAAGAATCGAAGGGAGATTATTGTTCGAGCACTTTACGATGGAATTTTTCATTTAAACGGCTGAAAGTTTATGGTGAAATGATGAAAGCTATGGTTTATCATTTATCATTTATTACAGTTCGTAGAAAGAATCAATTAAACATGAATTAATCATGCATTTATAAATCTGTGAATTTCAAAGCTCCACCTATTGGATCTCGAGATTACCTAGCGGTTGGCAAAATATATATGTAATATATATATATATATATATATATATATATATATATATATATATATATAGATATATTAATCCAGGATTTATAATATATTCGATGGATGTATTAACGGGATGCGGAAAAAAACAAGTTCACAGTTGAAGGTTAGGTTTAAATATTTAAAGGGACCTCAAGGTTATTGAATAGTAGTATCTTAATATTAAATTATGCTTATCTTGTATTGTCCACATAAGATTATATTGCATGTTCAATTCGCCGTATAATGTCCAAAATGAGAGCTCAAGACAAGGACAATAAAACGCTTCCAGATAAATTGAGACAATTTTTTCGTATTAATAAGGGTTAGTATTTAATGCGTTGATGAAAATTTATTTGCTTCACTTGTTTAACGAGCTCCTTAATAATAAACTGTGTATTTGCAAAATTTAGGAAACTTTCGAAGTCGTGAAGATATTACATTGACTCATGGCATTGAGAAGGAAATTAGCTCCGACAGTCCAGTCCATTGTCGTACAAAAGTTATAAAAGATTTAAGCGATGCTGTTTTAAATAATCAATGGGAGGATGTAAGTATTGATTGAATAAAAATGGAAAGAAATAATATTAAATATCCTTTGATCGACTATTGCATGCATTAATACTTAAGTTTTTCTTATATCCTAAGTAATGTATGTATAAGATATTACTTACATTATTATTATTATTGAATCATTATAATCTTACTAACGACTTGTATTTAGTGTGCTGCAGAAAGATTGTGGTATTTGGTGCAGGATTTACTTGGCCAAGATGTTCCTAGAGAGCACAGACATATAACATTGAATTTTTTAAAATGTCTCGTTCAAGGCCAATATTCAAGGCTTTCATCTTTAATGAGGGTAAAGTTCTTCAATGTTGTCAAAGAACACGATATTCCAGAAGATACAGGCTTAAGGTAATTTTTATAAATTTTTTTCGTATTCCATAGGATTATCGTTATATTTCTTTTTATAATAATAAATGATTTCTAATAATAATTTTAATAGGCTGGAACTATTACAAAGTTTGACTGATAATGGAAAAGATATTGTTCATCTAGAGGAGAAAATGGGCCCTTTTCTGCTTACCTGGATGCCCACCGTAACAGGAGCTGATGGAAAGCGCGGCGCAGACTTCTTATCTCTACTTGTTAATGTTATTAAATTTAATTCGGCCTGCATCGACGAAGATATTATATCTGGTCTTGTTCAGTAAGTATTGGCATCTTTTTAATCGGTACACATATTTCTCAAATGTTTGACTACATAAATTGTATAATTCTTCAATTTTTAGATACATTTGTCACTTGTGCTATTACAGTAATAGCACAGAAGTTGTTTCAGCCAGCTTGGAGGCACTCGATGCAATTGTTTGTTACAGCAAGTTACAGCCAGATTCGTTGCAAACATTTATTATAGCATTATGTCGAAGCGTAAATGTCGAAACTTACTGTCAAATCAGTTGGAAGGTAAGCTAATTGCATTTTGTAAGGTGGAATAATTATTGAAAGATGAAACGATCGATTTATCACATATTGTAGATAATGCGTAATTTATTGGGAACGCACATGGGACATTCGGCATTATATAAAATGTGTTATTTATTACAAGAACCTAATTTTCAAAAAGATGTTCGTCTTCTGAGAGGTGCTGTATTTTACGTTAATATGGGTTTATGGGGTTCGCACAGAATACCTAAATTAAAGTGCACACCTTCGTCTGTATTACCATCATTTTATCAAGCATTACTTTGCAATCATCCCATTGTTATGTACGAAGTCACCTTGTCGATTCAACGATTGGTTAACAAATATGGCATCGAGCTTGAGCAACCTACTTGGAGCATTATTTTAGATATAATTGAACAAGTTATTGCACACACAGGTAAATAATCATCATATGGATTATACCTAAAATTATTCACTTACTAAAACCATCGATAATAATAATAGAGAGTAGTAATCAACCAGCTACCAAACAAGTTTCAACCAGTTTGCACGTAACGATCAGTAGTATTGAAAATCTGTTGGATAACAATTGCTATAACGGAAATGTCCAAAGATTTTACGAACTCGTTGAACGTTGTTCTGATGCAAGACCGGTAAGTACTGGTTTATCGAATGAACGAGTCCTTTTTTCATGCATTATATAGTATTTGAATTTTCTTCTCATTTCTTTCGTAGGAAGATTCTGTCCTGAAACTTATAGATTACAGGGCTTCATTGATTGGTCCGACATGTTATCAGTGGCAATCTAAATTAAGCTCTTTGATCGAACGTTATTATAAAATTGAAGCTAGAACCAATATTCGCGTTAAGGTACTCGACGTTTTGAGTGATGTCATTCAAATAAACAGGTATTACGAAATGGTCAAAACAATATTTTCTAATTTTATATAGATATTAAGAGTTTTTTTTTTTTTTGCTTTGTCTTGTATGAATGAAGATCAAGGTACGAGGATGAACTGATCGAACGGATCGTTGTACCGCACTTACAACACGTTGAAACTGATTCTGATGTAACGATACGCAATTGTGCTGTTCATTTATTGGTTGATTTATGTTTGGAATGTGAATCAAAAAGATGTATGGAATTGTTAGATATTTTAGAAAGGGTAAGCTTTAAACCAAATCCACTGCGATCAGTGAGTGTCGAGTAAGATGACAATTATCTTTTATCGTGCACCGTTCATTTGTTTACAGATAATCAACAAACCATTTACACTAGATGCGCCAGTACAAGTCGACACGGATATGAAAGATGTGAAAACCGCGGTTGTCGGCGTCATAAAGATTTTAACGCAAAAAGTTTATCGTTTGCCATCCATTCACGCCATTCGTGCTTACCAAGTGCTGGTGAATCATCTAGAATTGCATTATCAAGATATTAAGGAAATTTTCCGAGACGTTTCTACAATTCGATATTTGGTTAGTTGACAATTTTAATTATATGTAAAATTGTAAAATATAAATATTAAGTAGACAAATTTATAAGTAGAGAATGTTATGTAAAAAAAAAAAAAAAAAAAAAAAAAAAAAAAAAAATAACAAAAATATTAATTTGATGATATAATTATATCGAGTTATTGAATTGCATGAAAATTGTTTAAAATTAATCATTCACTTTGATATTTTATAATTTATCATTTAATTTAAAAACTTTTTCATACGTCTATCATTGATGTTACCTAATATGAGGCTAAAAAGCCTTAAAAAAAAATTTTTTTAAAAAATCAAAAAAACTGACTTTTTTTTATATATTAAAAAATAATTTGTAATAAATGTTGTTGGAGTTGGAGAGAGCGATTATTTAAATAAGAGAAAAGAAGGGAATAAAATGTCAGCCTCTCGTCTTATATATTAACATGTGCTATAATAATTTTATTAACATCCACCAATTCTGTCATTTCACGTTTAACAAATCTCAATTTAATTAAAATCAATTGATCGTCAATTGATAGCCACCTAATCTTCTAAAATTTTCGACAACCATTCCCTTCCAAGGCATAATTTTTCAACGCGAATTTCCAGATTTTTGAGTGCTTCCTGAAGGCCAGAGCCAATGGATTGGGCTACCTAGGTTTCCCGGACCCGCTTACCAGCATCGTCAATCGCTACAGTCCTTACCTCGTGCTGGAAAACACGGCGTTCAGCTCGAGCGGTAGTGGGACGAGTCCACCACCCGCGAGTCCCGTTCCCCTGCAAAGCTCCTCCAGCCAGATCACTAACATCTCCTTGGCTCATGCGTGCAAGGCTGTGACGACGGCGGTGAAGCAGGAAAAAGGTCAGCGATCGGATCAGCCATATCGGCGCGATAGTCGTTCTTATAATAGTCGGAATGACAATAATAAAAATAACAATTATATTGAAAAAATTAAAAATTCCCATACTTAAGATCGGCAGTTATAATTTTTCGATGAAATTGAGACGCGCGAGCATTCGTGCGCTATCAGTGGTAATTTCTTCTCATACTAGTTTAATATCGCCTTGGATTCAGGAATCTTTACGGACTTGTGGCATAACAAAATGAATGTCTTAAAACGCAAATCGATTTACGCGAGCTCAGCTTAAAAAATTCAATGAAATTGTATTACTTTTATCGATTTATAGATAAGAGGCGATCTCAAAGAAATAGAATGGTCAATGAAAATTGATTGACATATCCGCGTGTTTATGTGAACTGTAAGATAGGCAACGATATGCCCAATTAATCGAAATTCGAATTTTCGAAAGTAAAAAATGCTCGAACAAACGGTGTTTATTCATTATGAGTAAATTAAAAGTTTGATCGTCGAGTACAATTGTCATTGCATCATTCTATGTATTATAATTATAAAAGCGAATGTTCGAATGTCAAGAGGCAGGAGAATTTGATGGATGCTTTGGAGGGAAAGCCTTTCGCAATTATAATTCAATGTAATATGATCGATATTGTAATGCGCTTTCTAGATTGGCAAGTTTTGCAGCTGATACTGAAAGAATTGCCCTCGTTGCTGCAAAATAGGGCGTTAATTTTGTCCCGTCACAGTAACGACGTCGGATCGCTTGCAAGCGCGCTGTGCTCAATGGTTCGTAAGGACATCCGTAAAAATTTATCTATCACAATATAATGTCGATCGGGCGAATGAAGCTACGTGCATTTTTGTTATTCTTTTTCTTTTTGCTTTTTGTAGATCGATGACAAGAATTTCAGACCAGCGGATTCATTACAAAATGTCTTGTGCAACACGCCCCCCAAATTTACGTTTTCCGAATTTCGTGTACATTTTTATCCTGTTCTCGCATCCTGCACATCATACCATGCGCATTTTGATTTAAATACTCAGCAGCGTCTTATAAAGTCTTTTGAAGTAAGTATTCCGAGCTTACGTTTCTATTATCGAGCCTTGGCCAACTTTTCTTTCAACGATTCTTGAATATCAACGCTCATTCCTCTTTAATTTATTATTTAGGACGGTTTAAGAACAACGTGCGCAAGTCAATGTGTTACGAGCTTAATGACCTGCACCTTGGAAATGCGCGACACTATGTCAAAACTCGTGTCCAACGTCCTTCTAAGCCTATCGAAAATATCAGGCACAGTTCACATTGCAATTCCAATATTAGAATTTCTGTCGAGTAAGTTACATAATGAAGATTCATCGATAAAGAATGAGAATAAAGGAAAACTTTGTTGTTTTAGCGCTCACTCGTTTACCTAAAGTTTATGCAAATTTCACGGACGACCAGTACATGTCGATATTCGCCATAATTTTGCCTTACACAAAGCCAACTAAATACAATCATTATACAGTCTCATTGGCTCATCACGTTATAGCCGTATGGTTTTTAAAGTGTCGACTTCCATTTAGACGAAATTTTGCAAAATATATTACTAAAGTAAGGATAGTCTTATGCTTCGAATTAAACTCTGCTTACGGAAACTCTTGCATTATGCTTATGACGTGTATGAAATTCTTTTCAGGGCCTGAAAACTAACGCTAAAATGCTGTTAGAAGAAGGAAACATATCAAAACCAGATATCGGCCTTAGCAACGAAGACTCCTCCAATAGAAAGCGCAGTTCCAGTCTCACGGAACAAGTGGGTTTACTTTCATTAATAACAATAACAATGATAATAATAGTGTAAACGATAAAATAAAGCGAGACACAGTAAGGGCCACTAACGAATGACAATCGCAACGATTTACGTATTACAGGGTAGTAGAGCACGAAAATTCGTAAGGGAAAACAGAGCTTTAGACTTGAAACCCCCGGTTGATAAAGCTTTAATGAATTTCCATGTTGAGCTTACGGAAACCTGCATCGACCTCATGGCGCGTTACTCATACTCCATGTATTCAGCACGTCCAAAGAGGTAAATGATTATTATCTCGTTCTATCTTGTCCTATGGCATTGCAGTGGCAATTTGGCATTTGGATTTCACTCTGATTCGAGCTAGTTTTAACTAGCGAGAAACGATATTGAGAAATCGAAAGGCCGTAAATATCAGACGAGCAATGTTCGTTATCGAAAGTTCAAGTGACATTATTAATGAAATACGTAGCTTAAGCGTAAGAGGGAATTCTTCCCTCCGCTCAGCTCCCAAACATTCATTCCGCGATGCCACCTCACAATGGCCCAAAACCATCCTCATCATTTTCATAACTTTTTCTCCTCGCCTTAGGCTTTTAGCGGCAGATTTCCTTTTGAAAGAGGGCCATTCGGTAACGTGGATATTAGGGAACAAATTAATCACCGTCACTACGAGCGGTTGTAGCAATAAAGCGATGCGTGGTCCACTATGTGATAATTGCTGGGCAGCCTGCAAATGCAGTCCGGATCAAACGAGGTCTAGTCACTCGAGCTTGTTACGCGCCTCGAGCGCCGACGGGAACAAGGAGGATAAGCTCTCTCGGCAATCGTCCGACGGGCACGCGAGCTCCAGTGCCAATACAGCGGCCAACTCGCCGACGGATGAGAACAAGCAGCCTCTTGAGGAGTCGGAGGTGCTTGAGCGAAACGAGCACCAGCAGCAGCAGCAGCAGCAGCAACAAAACGAGACGTATAAGCTCGAGCAGATGATGAGCACAGACAAGCAGGAGGAGCATCAGCCGTGCGCTTGTTGGTGCCAAGGCTGGGCAGAAATATACGTGAGGAGGCCAACTGGCGACATGTCCTGGATTATGAGAATACAGAACTCCATGAACCTCGACACGACTTATGATTTGCCGCTCGATAATATCACCGCTCTCTACATGCCCACGACAGACATGTTGCCCCAGAAAAATCAAGATCTCATGTTGGAATTTTCCGAGGACGAAATCCCGGTCAGTGTTTTCATCGTCATGTTCTTCTTCTTCTTCTTGTTTGCCTTTTTTAATGCCTTTTTTTAATAGTTTTTGTAATTTATTCATTGTCCATCACAAACCCATCCCATCCCCTCGACCCGTAATAAGTATGCGTAGATCGTAAGACATTTTATTTTTACAAAATATAAGCCATAAAATTTCAACAATTAAATTTCAAGATTTTAAGCTTTTAAGTAGATCGACGCATCGAGATTGTGCTTCGACTACAATAACGATCGATCGAATTGACAATGGTTCTTTCAATATTATCACCAGGATACGGCAGAAAAAATTCTTGAATCAAATCAAACGGAGGCTGGTCACGTTATCAAATCCGGAACGTCGTTTGCTTCGGGACCGATCGACATACCAGGCTCGCCCGCGCGTCCTAGTACATCCAGACCAAGCCCCCGAGACAGTCTTGAGAGCTTGGACGAAGGGGAGGAAGGTGCGTTAGATGAAATAATAATAGTCACGTATTTTTGAATTAATTCAATAAATCTACCGACTGCTAAAGGCCATTCTTCATCCATAAATGTCCATAAATTTTATTTGTAAATTTGTTGCTTTAGAATCGAAGAAGTCTCGTAATCCAGTCCGTAGATCCAACTCGAGTCCGGAAATGAGCTCGAATTGGAAGAATCCTTTCTTAAATAAAGAAAAATTAAATTTATCGCAAGCTGAGCGAGACGATGGTAACGCCGACTCTGATGCCAAATCGGACGAACTTAAGAAACACATTAAAAACACTTATTCTAAAGATATGAGGTAGGTTTTTAATTTTCAAATTTAAGTTTAATACGTCACTTTATTTTTCCTCCTCCCATCTTTCACGAATTTTAACGAACGAATGAAAGCAAAGAATGTAGCGTAGCTAATTTTAATTTTCTTTGGTCTTTACCATAAACATTCCTGTTCCTTTAGAGTTAGCTGTGAAGCTATACCCGAGGAAATATCGGGAATGGGTACTACACCGCCTTCGGCTGAAAATATTGGTGAACATCCGTCAGGACTATTGTCGCAACGATCTTACCCAGGTGCCGGCCAGGTTACGCAAACAATAACTGCTACGAGTAATACAGTGCCTCCCTCACCCACTACCAGCCAGGTTGAACTTCTAAATTTCTAAATTCTCTTTGTTCGTTGATCCGTCCAATAATCGTAAATCTTTATTTTAATGAACGATGCTTTTTTATTCGCTAGCCCGTCACGAATTTGTTGTTGTCGCAATCACAGCTTGGTCCCAAGCCACCTCAGTCGCCAACCCAAATCTATACTCGGCTTACGAATTTAGATTCGAGCCATAGTCGGCAGTCGTGGATCGTGGACTCGAAGCCACCAATTGGTAGAAACGTTCTGATAGAAAAAGTAGGTTTCATTTTGTTATCTTTGTTGTGTCGATGGGGGTAAATAGAGTGTCCTTTGCTTGCAACATATTATTTTAAGCAGCTTCGAGAAGACAAGGCAGATCCATCATCGTTGCCACCCCTTGCGTTTCGTGATCGTGGGTATACGATATCAGTAATGAGTCCGGCAAAAATTAGACGAAACAATCCACCTCGAATGAAAGATCCTCCGACGCAAATGAATTTACCCAACAACAGGAGTGGAATTAACCCGAGGTAATATATATATATATATATATATATATATATTTCATTGGCATTTTAGGGATATTATATTCGCTTGTTTATTGTTAAGCGAGAATATTTTTAATGGATTTTCAGCTTTGTATTTTTACAATTATACCATTCCGCCCATTTCGGACTATCGGTGGAAAAACCATTATTAGTGCCACAAACCAATGCCCTCCTACAAACTTCTATTACAAATTTAGATAGAATACAACCATACGAGACTCACAAAATTGGAATATTGTACGTTGGTCCGGGACAAGCTTGGAATGAAATAGAAATTCTGGCGAATCAACACGGTTCGTTGCGTTATGCGCAATTTTTGCAAAGTCTTGGTACACTCATAAGGCTTAAGGATGCGGATGAAAGTATTTTTCTCGGTGGACTCGATCGCAATGGTGAAAATGGAAACTTTGCGTACATTTGGCAGGATGATGTTACACAAGTGGCATTTCATGTGGCAACATTAATGCCTACCAAGGCTAGTGATCCTAAGTGCACTTCGAAGAAACAGCACATAGGAAATAATTACGTTTCAATTGTATATAACGAAAGTGGAGAACCATATAATATTCAGACTGTCAAAGTATATAAATATATATTAATAATATATGTTGTTGAAATGAAAAAAAAAAAAAAAAAAAAAAAAAAAAAAAAAAAAAAACAACAACAACAACAATAACAACAACAACATTATCGAGCCTTTCAAGCTTGCATTTCATACATTTTTAGGGTCAATTTAACTATGCTTGCGTGGTCATTCAACCTCTTGATCATGGAACTAACCAATTGACGGTACAAGCAAGAGAAGAACTTAGCGAGCACATTGGACATAGTGAGCCAAAAATTATATCTGATCAGAATTTGGCGATTTTATCACGGCAATTAGCTCTTCATGCGAACGTAATGATTGTAATTTAAATTTTCTAACGATTCTGTGGTGGTTTACGAAATTTTTATATTGCAGTTAGCATCGATGGTTTGTTCATCGTTGAAGCAGAAAGATCGTAATCCTTATGCATCAAACTGGTTAGAACGATTTCGTCACATTAAACGATTAAGAAAGCGTGTGCTAGAGGAATTATTACGAAAGAATCCGAATGACGATGGAATTAAAAATTCCTTAGAAGAAGAAGACAAATTGAGAATTGTGGATGACCTTGTTCAAGACTTTACAGATTTCACGACTTAGATAATGTGTTTTTATAAAGAAAGTGATAGTGATTTCATGTAACTGTGTATAAAAAAAAAAAAAAAAAAAAAAACTTTAAAATATCGTACTGAAATAGATCTATTTATTATTAAAATGTCTTTTCTTTTTGTAGCTACATTAGCCAGCAATTCATACATTTGGAATTATTTCACTTATTGCAGACTATTTAATTTAATATTCAATATTCTTCCTTCCACTTTATTAGAAAATGCATATATTAATTTTATAAAAATTAATGTTCTCAGTTTACTTATGATTCTTCAATTTCAACCAATCGACATGCCTTCCGTATCGATTGGTTTAAATACTAGACAGGATATTGCTTGATGCGAAAAAGCATCAAATATTTAGACAAACATGTTAGATTAATAACATTTCAAAATTTATAAAAACCATACTTTTCTATACCTCTTTGTATAATTCTCTTAACCATCGGAGTAGAGTAGAATTGTTTTTAAAAATTTATGAAACCTAAGTTTATATCATCTTAACAGTTGGTTATTAAAATCCTATTACTATATACGAGTGCCAGAGATATAAATCCACCCTACACAAGCAATAACAAGGCACAATAGTATATTCAAAATATATTTTAACATCCCTTATTTTTTAAAATTCCCCACATAAATGCATAATATCTGTAATTATTAGTATATTCGAGCATGTAAGGTCATAAAAAAAATCTTAATTTAACGTCTTTAAGAATTATAAAAATATAAAATTACTTTATAGATTTGTGAACTTAGTAATAAAAATGATTAAATAAATATTTTTTATAATAAATAAAATAAATTCTTATATTTTTCCTTATATTTAAATGTAGCGAATCGTTTCAAATTATACATATTGCGCTAAACCATAGATTCCAAATATATTTCATAGATTGAAAGAAATTTGCATTTCTTGTGAATGTTTTATTTGACGAAGTAGCGGTAAATCCGATCGCATTATACCGTAATAATTCAATTATTTTGGCTCTTTGACAATTTGAAATTTTTACTTCCGCTACTGGGGAGTTTGAGGTTCCGTCCTGATTTTCCTGAATTTATCGTCCACTGTACATTCCCCATCCTTTTATAACTTTATTAAGTATTAAATTATTGGGTGTAGTCTAAAATCGGAAAGTGTAAGCTTCGAAAGAACGACTCGTTCTCGACAAGATAATCGTCAATTTATTCAATAAGATATAATTTTAAAGGAAGTCTCTAATTACGTTTAAGGTTAATTTCTAACCCATAATTTTTTAACGCTCAATAAATCAGTAAATCCTGTGATTTTTAATTTTTCTAATTTAAATAAACAGTATGTTGTAGCAGATCGATGGTACGTTTAACTTATGGTCGTCTGTACTTCGTGCTTTTAAATATTTTTGAAATTTCTTTGAATATAGACTAGAGTTGTTAAAGAATTTCGCTAATACAATGCGACGCTTATTTTTAATTATTTATTTGTTAATAAGTTCTGTCTATTGTGGATCTGAGGAGCAAGAAGGTGTTAAGTACGCCGATAAGTGCGAAGGTCTGCTTTTATATTTATTAGTGGTTGAATTTATGTTAAATCTTATTGTTGTTTACCATTATTTTTTTGTCCACAGTTTGTAAAGTTGTTGCTACAGAATTAGAAGCAAGACTCGACGAGACTGGAAAAACAAGTGATGTTATAGAAATTGGTTATTCGGTAGATGATGTTATTCCAAAAAAAAGAAAAAAATATAAAACATCGTATGTTTCATTATATCAAATAATTGCAAACTTGAATAAGAATTATTAATATATGCATAATTACATACATGATATATGTATATCTATATGTATATATATACAAAATTTTTCAGAGAACTGCGATTAATAGAATCGTTAGAAGATATTTGTGCCAGAATTTTGGAATATAATATTCATAAAGAAAGAACTGACAGTACTAGATTTGCCAAAGGCATGAGTCAAACTTTCAAAACATTGCACGGACTTGTGTAAGCGTCTTTCATCATTTTATTAGTTCTTTCGGCTCTTATATTAATTATACGTATAATTTACAGGGATAAAGGAGTTAAAGTTGAACTAGGAATTCCATTTGAATTATGGGATAAACCATCGGTCGAAATAACAACGCTAAAAACACAGTGTGAAGATTTGATAGAAAATCATGAATCGGATATAGAAGATTGGTATTACAATCAACAAGGAAAAACTACGTTAATCAAGTATGAATATCTCTGTTAACTATTATTTTCGCTTACATTCCACTCGTGTATTAATATTTTTGTCCGATTTGTAGATATTTGTGCTCGGAGCGCGCTTTAAAAGGCAACGACGATTCCTGTTTAAAAGAGAAAGGAGACACGAGCGAAGCTCCCGTAATTAAGAAAAAAGATCAAGAAGAATTGTAATAGATATAAATAAGCCTCTTATCTTGTAACAAACTATAATATTCAAGCGATGCATATTTGACATATCAAATTTCCAAATATAAAGTGGTTTAAAGATCGTTCAAAATTAAAATCATGAAGTACCATGTGATATTATTTTAAATAACATTGTATATACTTTTCATTCCACTTTTGTAATACATATTTATGAGCAATTTAACAATATTAATTAAAATGACACGGTTTATAAACTAAGTTGTATTTTATTTTATAATAAACTTTTTAACAAATCGTAGATTTGTCACTTTATTATAAAAGTTATTCGCTTATGTTCATAATAATACGTATATCACTATAGTACATACGATTATTTTAAAACTGTAACAGATTCTTTTTTCGCTTTCCTACTCTTTGAATCCTTTCCTTTCGAAATTCGCATTTTCTCAAATTCTTCTTTAAAATCTTCGTGTTCATCTCTGTAAAGTCCGTATAATCGTACAATTTCAAATAAATCGTGAGTTTGTTTAAGCCTCGGATAATAATCGACAATCTCGGATCTTTTCGATATAGGTTTTTCTTCAAAAAGTTTTACAACCTTCATTGATTTCTTATCCGTTGTTCTGGCTACTTCTCCAAATATTTTATTACTTAAATATTTCATGCGTTTCGCATAACGGCTATTAATATTTATAAGTTGCACATACTTGCTCATTTTTAAATTTTAATACAATTTTGAGGTTAAGGTACTGTAAAGCACAAGTGAAATTCTCAAAAAATAGCTCCACGATATCTTTTATTGTCGATTTGTAAAGAAGATTAGAAACTTCGTGCACAATAAACGTTATGATATAACTGTATTATACATAATAATAATTTACTATAAATATCGTATTTATCAATTATATTATGATTTAATAAATATTGGTTATATTGTGTGACTTATGCATATAAAATCATGAAAATGTTGTATGGTTAAGTATTAGTAGTACTTTACGTTTATTATTAATACAAAAGTGCACAACAAGATTTCGAAAGTATTTACCTAAAGTGTTTTAATATAAAAATTAAAAATAAACAAACATATTTTAATGTCAAACTTTAATTTAAAAGTATTTTAAGAAAAGCTGTATTATTCCCGAGAACGATCTAATGTTCTTTTAAGCGACGGTCGACCGAGACAAATTGCCATTGCAATGATAATTGCATATTTTTTTTCTTATGCGATAAAGATTTTGTCACTTTATTTAATTAATCTACTGTCCTAAAGCAAGACTTTTTTTCTTTTATCATGTGATTTGAAATGTAGGAAGAGAAAATAATATATATAATTCAATCTTTAAATTGCCATTTTTCGTAAGGAAATACAGACTTTTCAATGCATTATGTATAGTTTTTAATTTTTTCGATAAAACAAATTTTATTTAAAAACGATAATTTAAATATTCACATAAAATTGCAAAAACTTATTTCAAACGAAATGTCTAATATATCAGAATATATCGAGCGACCTTTATGTAATGATTATAGATGTTTATTTCAACAATATAATTATAGTTAAAATTAAGTTAAAATTACATTGTCTTGTAAGAAAGGTAATAATTATTTCGTATTTTATATTTTTATTAAATTTTTCCAACAAAAATACATTTGCAAATGTAATGAATTACATAGTAGACTTATACAGCTTTTAACAAATCAGTTTATTAAAAATATGTAGTCAGAATTTTGAAAAATTTAAATGTCAAATAGAATTTAAAGTTAACTATGTGCTTATAATAAATTTAATGCTTTAATTTAAATTTAAAATAATATTGATAGATAAGATTTGTTGAAGCAACTAAGTTGCTCGATCAAATTAAATCATCATCATGACGAAAATAGCTGATGTATAATTATTTTTTAATCGTAAAATATTAATTTAATTTAAATTTAAATTTAAAATTTTATTATATACGATATAAAGATATCAAAATTCTCCTAAAAAAAAAAAAAAAAGAAAAAAAATTATCTTGCTAATTAATGATTAAATTTATTCTTATTGTCGTCCAATTAAATATAGACAATAATATCATTTTCATACAGATGATATTTGAAAATTTATAAACCATAAATAAATACATCGGTGGAATATCAAATCAAGTATATAACAGAATTAAACACGTAATTTCTAGAGCTTTCTATCAGTCACAGTGCACATTTACAAAGATTCTATGCGTGGAATCCACTACCTTTGAACTTGACAACACATAATAAAAAAATCAGATGTTTGTAAAAGTATCCTCATACTTTGTCTATTTAACTATTGGATATTGGTCATATGAGTCGAAGAGCCTGATGTTTCTGAACTTATTAAATTCAATAAGCTCAACTAGATTACAAGTAATCATAAGATTCAATTGAGCAGAAAGCATAGGATAGAGCACATATTATAATAATGTAAAGCGTAGACAACTATTTTACTTATTTTGCTTACCAGTTAATATATAAGCATCGAGTTAAAATAGAATGATAAAAATTTAATTTTATAATTATCTTTGAATGCCACCAGATGATATTGATTGGTACGATAATTTTAATAATTTTATAAATTGAAAATAGGATTTTCAGTGCTTCTAAACTATATATAAATACATTATATAATAGCACACTATAAACTATTTATAAGTAAACGTAAAAACTTTGTACGTTTGTATGTTGATGATGTATTATTTGGCTTTCGTGATGTTGTTGTGATATGTATTTTCAAAATTAGTGAGCAAATAAAGTGAGCGCTAGGATAATCGGCAAATAGCGATTATCCATATTGCGATAAGAAATGTCCGTAGGAACTAGGGAAGAAATTCTATCGTTAAGCTGATCTTTCGGCGCTCCATCGGCAGATGGGAAAAGCTTTTATTATCCGCTAGCTTGCCCAATTCTTTAGTTCATTCAATCAGTTTTCACCCTATCAGACATTGTTATGCTTATAATACTGTATCAATTGGCTTGTTTTTTGTTTTCTTGTTTTCTTTTTTCTTTTTCTCTCTCTCTCTCTCTCTCTCTCTCTCTCTCTCTCTCTCTCTCTCTTTCTTTCTTTTTTTCTTCTTCATTGTAGTGTCGACACACGCGCGCGCATATAAATGGCACGCGACATATTGCGATCTCGTCATTTACCCATAGGATTATGCAAATGTATAACTAAATGCAAAAAGGTAAGAAATAAAAAGGTAATCTGGTAATTAAAACAATAAACGATTTAGTAATAAAACCATCCAACATAGATATAATTATTGTTAGATCTAGTTAAATAAGTTCGTTCGATCATTAAAAGGGGGAAACTTGTTATTAGTATTGAAAGGTAAACTTAAAATGGTATTGTGTAAGATGTGTGTAATTAATTTTTAATATTCGAGCTTCTTGATTTCACGAAAATTACGCATTAAAAACGACAACAGTTATGAATTAACTCGACGACGATTAAGATGCACATTGTCGATTCACTGGTCGGTTCATTAAATTCGTCGTACATATAACGCAACGATCACTTATTCGTAATAAGTACACTTGAATATGCGCGATAAAATCGTCACTTGCGGTGGACGAGGCGTAGTTCATTTTGGTCACAGCCCTTACGCAAGAACGACAAATATCCTCTCTCGTATCCCACTTGGGCATTCGCCTTGATGGTGAGATCACTCGTCGATGCTCCTCTTGTGATAGCATTGTTTATGCAGGACGAGGATGGGCGAGTGGATGGGGCCGTTGGATTATCCGTTGGAGCTATTTAGGCGGGCAGAGCCGCGCAGCCATTCGACGGTGGCTGCTTCGATTTCTTCTTCAGCCCGATTTGCTCGGCTTCTAATAAAGTGTCCGGCAGTTTCGTGCCAAGGGTCTCGGGGAAGGTAAGCGACAGGATGCCCGCCGTGAGGCTCATGCTACCGAACAGTAGCAACGGCAGTCCCTCGTAGATGTATCTCGCCTGTTAAAACACGAGGACACTTTGCCTAAGATCGATGAACTATATTTTGAAGCCATTAACTTTTGATTTTTAATCTTTGGTCGGTCTCAGCCGACTAGACATTTTATACTTGAATCGGCGACGTTAATTGTTATATTAAATTAATAAATGATTGTAATTATCGAAGGCCACGCATGTATAGTTAGAATATTCACGAGGATAAGTTAGCTGTTATTCGAATTATCGATGGTGTTATTAAAATAACAAGTACTTACGCGATAAGGATTTCAGATAATATTTACATAAAACAGTTTATTAATGAATTATTAATGAAGCGAATGAGAATTTTATAGTTTTTTTTTTTTTTTTTTTTTTTTTTTTTTTTTTTCAACTTTACTTATTGATTATTTTTGAGCGATTATTGAGGGAGAATTTTGTCTTCCACTAATGATATATAAAATCGTAATGAATGCAAACTTCTTAGCTCTAATAAATCTAACTAGCGGGCTGAATAATTGCCATTGCATGGGAATAATGTTAAGATTAATATAAAAATTGTATACTGTGTACCAGCAGAGGTGTTTGAGGTGCTAAAATCGAGCCAATGCGTCCTGTCATGCTGCAGATGCCGAGCAACGAATGCCTGAGTGTCGTTGGGAAAAATTCCGTCGTGTATACGTACGAAGTGGAAAATGCCATTGTTATGCAGCCTTTGCCGCAGACGTAAAGTACAAGAGCAATATTTGCCCATATTCCTGTTAAAGTCAATATAAAATTGAGATTATCTTGATTATGGAGATGAAGTCGCGTGGCGTCGTGAAACAATTGCATTACATACACGACAATTGGCGCGATCAACCGATACTCAATTTTTTGCAATATCAAAATACTTTCATTGACATTCATATAATAGTTAAGGCTCCGTTTACTTTAACTTTAATAACTCGAAGTTTCGATAACTATTGGCATATGTTTAGAAAATTAAAAAATTTCATTCACTTTTAAATTTACTTCGATCCAATATAATATCTCACTTTTTAACAATAAATCTTAATATTGAAAAAAAATAAATAAATAAAAAAAAATTCTCATTTTGTTTATGTATTTATTGTTCGTCAATTAATAATGTTAGCGTTCCTTTTTATTTATGATGGAGATATTTCATGATTAATACATTACATTCCCAAATCGAGAAGTCACACGGGAAATTGTATGGCTTTAATTATGACGACTACCTTGAGATAAGAAACCAAAATGGAAAACTATTTTTTTTTATAAGTCTTATTGATTTAAAATGGACGCTGCGAGGAAACGAACCATATTCCAATTTGGGTATAAATTGAATAGCCAGGCAGAATATGCCGCTGAGGATGAACGAGCTGCAGAGGGTAGCTTTGCGACCGATAGTGTTGAGCAGAGGGAAGACCAGGATGTTGCCGGGTATCTCGATAGCGGTTACGAGGATGAAGTTGATGTATTTGTTGCCAGCGAATTCCGTGGAGTTTAGCGAAAGTCCATAGTAAACAAATGTGTTGGTTAACCAGCAAAAAGAGCAGATTAGTAGGCGCGTAAGTATTTTAGGACTTTTTCGAATCTGAGTGATACGTCGCTCGTCCTTAATATCGTGCTCCTCCTCTTCCTTCTACAAATAGTTTAGAGAACATTTAATTAGAGAAGAATTGTGAAAATTGCATCTGTCTTCGTCATCGCCGTACATTTAATTTACAAGTTATTCAAATCTTCGCTACTTCCTTGAAATAGAGATTATTAAAATGTGAGAGGGTCGAGCCTATTTAAATATATGAAGCACATTAATTGCCGCGATTATTAACTTGATTTCTTTCTTTCTTTTTAAATTAATTTTCTAAATTAATTTAATAAAGATATAATTTCATGCATAAATAAATATATATATATATATATATATATATATATATATATCAAAATAAATCTTTTAAAGCATTGATTATCGGTTAATTTTTTCACATTACTAATAGTATGTATAATGTAATAACCACGAGGTACGCGAATTATTATGCAAGAATTCTATTTATTATTAATGAAATACGATAGTAAGCAACTTTTTTCTCTCTTAACTTCATGAAACACTTACATAAATTCTACGGAAAATTTGCATATACCTCAAAATGCATGTATTATTTTGATCATGAAACGATGTACTAATGAAATGTTAACTAATTTACATCGTTTATAATAAATTGAACTTTAAAGGCTCAAAGATCACGCAGTGCGTAATAGTTTTTAGTATACGTAATACACATTAGTATGCTTCATAAATATCTACTCTATATTCATCGAAATTGCTCTTGCAACCAACGAACGGTTAAGCCGTACAATCGCATATAATGATGTAAAATTTACCTCACTGGGCTTTTCATTATTTACATTCTTAAGTTCCAAGAACGTTTCCTCCGTGACGCTGAGCTTATTCACACGAGCCATCTTACGATAGACTTTTTCAGCCATGTCACGTCTGTCATTAGCCAAAAGCCATCTAATAAAGCATATTTTTAGCTCGCATATTTTGTGTAAAATTTAACAAAAGTGAAAAGAAAAGAAAAATATATAAATATATATATATATATATATATATATATAGAGAGAGAGAGAGAGAGAGAGAAAATAGACAAACCAAGAAGAAGAAAAAAATTGAACCAAACACGCTCTGAAACGCTTGAGTGAAATTTAATAAGCGAAAGCGCATATTAACATTTGGCATTCTTGAAGCTTGTAATTTCAAATTTCAAAAACACTGTGCATCCACACAAAAGTGGAAATAAATGCAAACAGACAAAAATTATAACACGAACTTTAAGTCATAAGTATATAATAAAAAGTATATAATAAAAATATACCTGACGGATTCAGGTAGTATGAATATAAGTAGTATAACAAGCAATCCAGGCCCATAAATAATCCTCATAAGGATTCTCCAATTTTTCACCCACATGGCTGCCAGACCGAGCCACATTTCTCCAACCGCGTAAATGCACGATATCACTGTACTGCCCAGAATTCTTTTTTTTACGCCAGTCATCTCCATAGCTGTTTTAAAGTAAATAGAGCACTATGAGGCAATACATCGTTACAATTATTACAATTATCAAATTATTACATAATGGCGTAAGGGGAAGGTATTTGTTGTTAATCAATCGTATTGTTTGTTGGGTGTTTGTAATATTCGGCTTATTGCAATGATTAATGACCGCGATTGCTAAGTAAGGGGCCCATTGTCCGAGGTCCTAGAGCATTGTTGCTTTATGGATATGAGCTTTACCGTAAATGAAGCCGGAGCTGTAAATTCCGGCGGCAAAGCAGGCATCGATGAATTCAAATGCGATAAACATCCAGTAATTGACGGAGAAGGAGTGTATGAGGCCGCTAAGGCCCGCAAGGAAGGTAATAGATGTCAGTACCGTCCTTCTGCCATACCTGAGAAACAATTGAGCATTAGACCCGCGCGCCCGTCTTTACCACTCTACGTTATTACGACCTCGATTTATTGTTGAAAATACGTGCTTACTTATCGGATAATGTTGAGGCGAATGTCAGTCCGACGAGTTGGCCAACGTTGTTTATGGTCCCGACGAGCGTGAGCTTCCAACGATTGGCGTCGCACGTTATTCCCCACTAAAATTAACGATTTGCAGTAATGATATCTTAATAAGAAAAGCCATGCGCTTCCCATCGGCTTAAATGATAATGTTTCATGTAGCATTGGCGTTCTTTCTTCCTGTTTATTTTTATTTTTATAGGCGATCGTTGGAATTAGCGTAATAATAATACAACGTAATATTGGCTATCGATGCCAATAGTATTGCATTATAAAATATTGGCCAATTAGTGTGAGTTCGTTGTTATTGCTTATGTTAGAGGTCGATTTGCATAGGAAAATATTCGTCCGAAAGCTTCAACTCGCGGGAGGAATCAATAAAATTTTCTAAATACTCCGGGACGAAGTTCCATTAGGGCACAAGTGTGGCACAAGCGGGCCGAGATGGCTTTGAAGCTCTCTTACCTCGTTGTGAATAGTGACTTCCTCGGGATCGTAGACCCATGCTTCGCACGGTCGCGTCTCGTTCTTATCGAAGAAATTCGGATCCGAACAATCGCCGCCTGATTGCGAACTTCGCGGAGCGAAGCGCATGCAGTTTTTGTCGGACAGCGAATTGTTCAGCCATGGCTGCTGACCCGCGATCGACGTGCTGTTCGCGTTTTCACATTCTGGGACGAGGCACCTGCGCACACAAACACAAACACACGCACGCGCGCGCACATTGAATACCTTACGTAAATAATTATATTCTTACTTTCGTCATTCGTATCAATAATGTCTCTTTTTTAACATAATTTTTTTAATTTTTTCTAATATTCAATTCGCGCGTGATTGAGCAGAGATGGATGGATAGTCGATATGTTATGCGAGTACTATTAGATTTTCAGAGTCTTCAGCATCACATTACCAGCGAATGAACGAGATAAAAGATAAAACTTAAAAAAAAAAACAATAAAAAATTACGAAGGATAATTAATAGTTTTACGTTGCGTTTTGATTAAAATTTTTTATTTCGTTATTTCTCTTTCTCTTCTTGGTGTTTATTTTTTTTTTTTAATGTCCAAGTGATATACAATCGTGAGCTGGAAAAGTTATTATTGTATTACAGAATGATTATTGAATCTTTTATCTCCTAACTGAAATGAAATGTAATTTTAGACGATTAATAAATATCCTATTGGAGCACGATAATATATTCATAAAATAAATTAGGGTATTTCATACGGGCACAAAAGTTTCAAAGTTATAAGGCCGTATGTATGCGCTATTAAAAAGGAAAAAAAATTACATACATACATACATACATACACGCGCGCGCGCGCGCGCGCACGCACGCACGCACGCACACACACACACACACACACACACATATATATATGTACAAATTACCGACAGTTCGACAGTTGCGCTCATGACATTGATCTTGGATAGAATAAATCAAATAAATTATTCATACGTATAGATAAATATTTATATAGGATGAAAAAAAAAGACATAGATGATACAATAGGAATGCGCGTTACAAACCAAAGCTATTAACTAAATACCAGTGAATTTTACCAAGCAAAGATAAAAATTATCATTTAGCGTTAAACGATAAAGTAAATATGAAGAAATATCGTAGTTGTAGAGCATAACTCTTTGCGTTGATATTCTCGTATTCTTTGATTAGCAATATACACACGATTAGATCGTTGCTGCTGTTGTTGCTGTTGTTGTTGCCGTTGTTGTTGCCGTTGTCGTTATTGTTGTTGTTCTTGTTTTTTTTTGTTTTTTGTTTTGTTTTTCTTTTAACGAATGATAGTGATAAGATGAAACATTGCACTATTGATAAAGAGCACGTAATCTTGCGAGTCCAATGAGCCTGTTAATAATAACGTATAAAGTGTCGTTTATAAAATGAAAAAAGAAAGCTAATGGCTCGTAGCGAGCGACTGAGCGACGATTTTCCAATATATTTGTGCCTTGTGTAACGAAATGAATTAAAACATACGTTTGCGCGGGCGAACAATCATACACCGCGACGCGACGCCTAAATCGTAACGTCAACAATGAAAGTAGCTCCGCTAACAACAACAAAAACAACAACAACTAGCGCTACTACGACGACGACGACGACGACGACGACGACGACGAAGGAAGAGAACAAGAGGACATAGCCCGGCAAGAAATTTGAAAACAATATTCCGACAATAAATCTTCATGTTATTCGGGCTTAGAGGAAGTAAAAGTAAAGTTGAGCACAGTGATGCCGCGACTACCTGTATTTGACTTCGCCAGCGGTGAATACGTAGTCGAGGGTAAAGCCGGCGGAGAGGATGAGCGGTAAAGTGATGAGCCCGTAAATCGTCAGCTGGTACTTGCCGAAGGCCTCGATGTCGTGCATGTCTACGGCTCTTCCTTCTCCACCCTCGGGCTCGCTACGCCCTGGAACGTAGAACGGCGTTACGCGGGGGCGACTGGACGCAGACTGACCGCGCGGCCATTGCGAGTAGGCGACTCTGGCATCGATCAGCTGTGGAGGAGGCTGAGTGAGGCGAGGCCGTCAGCTGACGGAGCCCAGCCCAGCTTTAATAGGCCGGGAATTACGACAAGGCGCCTCTCTCTCTCTCTCTCTCTCTCTCTCTCTCTGTCTCTCTGTCTCTCTCCCTCGACTTCCCGTCCCTTCTTCCCGCCGTCCCTAACGAGGCGTGGCGAAATCGCGCCTCGGCTTTGTTTACCACTCGTCGGGATCTCGTTTCCAGCTGCCGTAGCTGCTCGATTGGCGCGGACTGTCGCGACGACGATGGCGCTTAAGCTCTGCCGTACCTTCGGCTCTTACGGCTCTTCGCCACTTCCTTGCCACTTTGGCTACTCGCCGTTTCAAAAGCAAAAAGCGATAATCGCTAATTTAATACCCAGCTCAACTGGCACTTTCTAAGCGTGGGATTCTTATGCTTGTTTGCTTGCTTTTAAGCAAATCTTATTAGAAATCCCTGCGTCTTCTTATAATCTCGATGCTAAGGGATGCTGCGCTATATGCTACATTTTATTATTTTTTTCATTTTTTCTTTCTTTTTTGTTTTAACAAAATACGCGTTAGAGTTTGTGACTTTAGAGTTACGTACTGCTGATCGACTGATTAAGAAAAAAACAAAAAAAAAACTGATTAATAATTAAATAACATCAAAGACATTCGTATGCGAGACAAATTACTTCAACTACTGCAAACTCGTCAAGTCTTTTTTTTTCACTTTCCGCGAATACGCTCGTCTGTAGTCGTAGAGCTTTGAACCCAATATGAAAATAAAAATGAAATAAGAAACGCAAACATATGAAGAATATCAAATTATTCTGTTAAAGTGCGCGTTACGGTAATTGAACCATATGCATATGTTTGTCACACATTATGAGATTAGGAGACTTTTTTAAATAATTCAAAGTTGGTTAATTAAGGTGTATTGTTTATTTTAAAAATGAAATGTTATTCTTTATTTTTTTTAAGAAATACCTAAATCATACATTGCGGACAAAAAAAAACAACTATATTGTATTGGATTTATTTTGAAAGTTTAACGGTAGTCTATATATTTATAATTTTTGTTAAATTTCGATAAATCCATATCGATGTACGATTTTGTAATAAAACGTACGTTTATCAAAGTTTATTCCGTCCTAAATTTATTACCAATTTGTAAATTTGTATTATTAGATTTTATTTAGAAAATTTTTAAACATTTCTATCATTTATATAGAACTTATATATAAAAAAAAAAATAGATTCTACATTATTGTATATATGCTTTACTATTAGTCCACATAGCTAAACGGATGTGCTTTACTAAAAATTTTCATACACTACACAACTATATTGATGCTTTTTCCCAGATTTTACCGATATTTATTGGTAAAACATTTATTTTTAATGTATATAGATAGTCATTTCACTACGTCACTCATTTAAAATCCAGTGATTAAATATTGGTTTTTAATAGAAGAATCTTATTATCAATATTGCGGTAAAGTACTCGTATCAGTAAATAAATCTTTGTTTTTATTATATGTTATATATATATATATATATATATATACAGTATCATAAGTAATTCGTAATAATAATTAAACTGAATAGAGATATTGTCATGAAATTTATAACAAGGTAGAATAAATATCGTATTATTATTTATAAGATTAGGTATATTTTAACGTCAATACAGCAATAATAAATTCAACCACTTTAATACAATGATTATATTAATTTTTTGTGTAAATTTTAAAAATTAATTTCACAAATATTTATATTTTACGTTGTTACAGAGAAACGTAGCCTTGAATAAGTAATCGATTTTAATATCAACTATATATATTAGAAATATAAATTGCGTGCCCACATTATAGGCAAAATATTGGTAAAACTATCACGTAATTAATAATTGTTTGCACAGGAGTGTAAAAAGGATAATTTATAATGCAATAATGATTTTTATGCAACTTCTATATTGCATAAGTTCACAAAACCTTATGCATTGTTGTAATAATATTCTAATACAGTTCATCTTTAAATATTCATGCATAAATTTCTTTGAATTAAACTATTCGTTCTAATCGATAAATTAATTTAATAAACAGTAGAGTTGTATTCATAGGGTGTAAGTATAGCTCATATCGTGCTCCGTTCAATACAATTTTTCAATTAAATTCTACATTTAGTTAAAGTAATAAAAAAAAAAAAAAAAAAAAAAAAAATAAATAAATAAAAGAAAAGAAAAATTCCATAAGGGTTCTAATGGGGTACAAGAAAATTTCAATCAATATTCCTTTTATCATTGTGTACGAATCGTTTATGCATGCCGACATGACTCTTACGAATTAAACAAAATTCATGAGATTATTAAAAAGGCAGAATTAATGAAATTACATGAAAAATAAATTGATGACGTCACGTATAAGGGAGAAAATAAGCTTATTTATAAGTCATATCGCATCTTGGGGCTGAAAAAATCAGGCCATTGACATTATGATATGCGTGCGCTTTACGCTCCTTAATTATGAAAAATTCCGATTTGACACGCAATAATCTTATTCATTCTTGAATTAATTATCTTTTTATTTAATTAATTATGAACTTTATAACTTATATTTACCTTATCCTGATAATTGTTAATTGTTGGATCAGCATGGTATGTTAAGAAAATGATAAACTATTATCGAATATTGGATACTACCTTAAATAATTAAATACATCCGCATAATTTCACATATTACATTTGATTATGATAAACAAAAAAATAAATAAACAACAACAAAAAAACTAACAAAAAAACTAGCTAGAAGTTAAATCCAATGATTAATTATTAATACAACATAAAAATAGAAAGTCAATAAGCCAGTGGCACTTTTATGTAAGAAATTCATTGTATTTTTATTTTACGTTAATACGTTAATATATTGATGAAATATACAAGAAAATGACTGATTACAACCAATACTTTAGATTATCATAAATAAACATTTATTAATTTAACACACGATCCTCTAAATATGGATTCGTCTTTTCTTTTCTTTTTTTTTTTTAATATTATTACACCTATTTCCGCTCATATATATATATATATATATATATATTTTTTTTTTTTTTAAATTATTATTATCATTATTACTGCTGTTATTACTGCTATTGTTATTATAAAACTATGTAGCACAGAATAATATTTCACATTAGATCGTTGTTAAATAAGAAGAGCGTTTAAACGAAAAGATAATGATATTTAAAACGAACATTATACAATTTATGAATTTACACGAGCCCATTAGCATAATCACTGTGCTGCGTGGTTATATTTTAATTTACGGAATCTCGTAATTTCTGCGCTTTACTACCGCTAGAGATACGTTCTTCAGGATTTTGTGCTTTGATTACCTAATATGCCCTAGATCAATTGATAAAAAAATGTCGAGTTAACAATACGCTAGTGCGCATGTGTTATCAGTGCGGTAATTCAAATGAAGGTGGGAATCGGCTCGGACTAACCGAGAGGACAAAAAAAGGCTCTAAGGGGACTTTTTAACGGAATATCATTGCCGCTAGGTCGAGCCGACGACTCTATAAGGACTCTCGGCACTAAGACCGCAGCTTCCTCTTCCAGCTATAAGCCAGCGTATCCTCGCCACCCGCTGTCAAGCAAGTGACGAATGAGAGAGGGGGGGTGACGGGGGGGGGGGGGGGTTACGAACTTACGGAGCTTCCCTCGGCAACAACCTCCCCGATCCAAAAAGGATAATCAGCTTTAGAAGCACACGCGCACTAAATCGGCAGGAGCGCGGCCACTCTCGGGGATCCCGGAAATCCGAATGTGGAAACGTGGGGAATTCTCGCGCTCCTCTCGAGTACTCGGCCTCGACAAGTGACGCACCGATAGTAACGCGCCGCCGTTTTTATCCGTGATAACGCAATTATCCTCGCAGCGACGGCCCACGTATGCGTGGCACGAAAAACGAAAGAAACGAGTCAACGGCTCTGCTCGACGATGAGACTCGCTCGGGAGTAATTTCGTGGTCCATGAGCGAGGGATGGATGGCAATTGCAAGCGCCACTCCCACGACTTCCGTACTCTTCCTGGGTACGTGCGATGAAAGGAAATTGCGCTCGGCCAGGGCTAAATTGGTATTTAAATTCAAGGACCGTCGTAGGACGAACCACGTCTACTCGACTCGTTCATTGCATTTCAATTTATCACATCGCGGTAAAACGCGTCTCAAATGCTTGGGAATCTCTTGGACGATTTATTTTAAATATTTGCCGACCAAGGCAATTGTATATCGACGAGTGAAGCTTGAAGCTAAATAAAGTACGGCTTTAGGCTTTGTAATTATTGGAATGGAGCAGCACTCGTTATATGTCAAGGCGCGTTACTCCGCGTCTCTCGTCTTCTCTCAAATAGATATAATATTTTTTTTACCTTTGGTGACTTGTAAGATAAAAACAAAAACAAAACAAAAAAACACGATAAACGTAAAGGATTATCGATCGATTAGTAACTATGAGTTTTTATTAAATAGATGGTTGTTTTATTCGATAATAATGCATAAACTTTCAATAGGTGGATACTCACTGGAGTAATGTTTTTTGTAATTATTTACCCCCCCCCCCATCCTCCACACTCCCCGTCACATTTGATGGATCATTATACACAATGTCAATACTATTTAATGTTCAATAACACGCTATGCATCTATAAATATATTAACATCCAATTAAAATCGTATATCCAGATAAAAATATTATATATTTTTATATTTCATCCTCTTAATTATTTCAGAATATAATTTTTTCAGAATACATTTTATCATTGTGTATTATCAAAATTAGCCTTACATTTTATAATTTACAAGATAAATACTTAGAAAATTAACGCCATTAATTAAGAAGTAAGCCCAAATGATTATTCAAATCAAATATAATAACTCGAAAATATCTGGAATTATTTTATTTGTTTTGTTTGTTTTGTTTGTCGTTTAATGATTTTCATTACATAAATATTAATAATGATCAAATTGATATATATAT